GTTAAACACCCTCACTATCATACCCTTTATGTTAGTCTTATTTATGGAAAGTATTTAGGTTTGCTCATTTGGCATATCTATGGAATATAGAGATTCTACATTTGTAGGGATAGTGGGTAGGTTGGGCATGGTCAACTAACCTGAGGCATAGTTTAGCTCCCGCTTGCGTGCTTATTCTTATTTTGCATCTAGCTTAGGTATAAACCCAAGTTCCATACCATGCTAACTGGTGGAGTAACCATGTCCTCATGTTAGGCCACTGGTATACTGAAAAATTGTCAAACTCCATTTAGCTCCATTTTGCATGCTAGTCTTAGCATTAGGATGTTGAATGCTCTAGGTCTATTTTAAATCGCTCTGTGCTCCTGTCCCTTCGTTCCTTGGGCTGTATGCTTGAGAGTTACACTGTGCTCTAGTGATGTTGCTCTTTGGCTCCATGCTTAGAAGTTTAATTCTGTTTCTTCATTCAGTGGCCTAAGGCCCTAAAATTGGGGTTCCACACCACTGTCCTTGGACATGTGGCATGTGACATGTGACATGTGGCACATGGAGAGTTTAAATACCACTTCATGATTATCCTATGATAAATCACCATAAGATAAAGTGTGAAAACCACATGCACTACAATTATATTAAATTTTGGATGTGGTGATTCACTCTTTGATGATGTGTTATCTATAACTAAATATTGTTGAAAGATTGGTCTCAAATACTAATTAAGGTATCTTTAACCTTGGCTAGCTTAGTTACTAAAAAGCTTCGAGTGGTGATTTGCTCTTACTTATTCCTAGCTTTGTTTTTATGTTAATGGTATTGAAGTGATGCCTTGTCATTGACATTATTGATATTGGGATTCGAGTGAAATAAAATATCTCTTTATAGGATTGATATTAAATTTCATTAGTCTTGATGCATACAATGTTGATGATTTAGCTGTAACTTTATGTTATTTAGCATTCGTGTATTTGTTAGTTAACAACTATATTAGCATTCAAATAAGCTTAGTGGCAAGTTTCAGTTAGTTGTGTTCTAGATAAGGTTGTTTAGTAGGGGTTAAACTTTATCTTTTTCTTGAAAAGTGATTGAGTTATTGACTTACGAGAGGAAGAGTTAATAATTAATATTGAACTTATTAGTTCCTTATTGGATTTGAGTTAAGAATATATTAATCATTGATGATTTCTCTCGTGTTTGTTATAAAGTGAGTTACGTCTTATTATGCATAGATGAATTTATGGAGGATCTATTTAGTGGTCACTTGTTGAGCATAATTTATTATGCGTGGTTTTTGAATTATATAAATATGTTTTTCATTAACTTTTGCATTATAAAGTTTGGCTTATGGATGTGTTAAGGAGGGATATTATAGGTTATACCATGATTTTTTCTTTAGCATTGATATTAGTTTATATGAAACTTATGATCATTATTAGGCAAAACTTCTTTAAGTTTTTAGTTCTTTGAGTTTTATGTTCATTATTCCATTTGTTATGAGTTGTTAGGGGAAGATATTTTGGCTTATTAGCTTTGATGTTCAAGTTCGTATTTACATTTAACAATCATTGGTGATAATTAACTATCATCTAGGATAATTGATTATCCTTGTCAAAAATTTTGCTAAATTATTATTGAATGATTTGCTATTCTTTGGGATGGTAGATTATTTCTTTGATAATGATTATGCATCTCTTTATTGATGGGATGATTGATAATCTTGTTAGGAGATGACTTAGAATTGAGTGAGATTCCCTAAAATATTCTATTGTTATAATATTCTAGAGGCATGAAGAGATGCTAGGGCACAAGGGTATATTCTTTTTCTTCCCCATTTTCTAGAGTAAAGAATTCAAAAAGAAAATGTTTTGAGTAGGATTTCAGAGTATAAAAGAATGTTCTCCCCACTATTGAAAGGCTCCCTTCTCAACATTTGGCGACTCCACTGGGGAGGATTGCTTTTTAACTAATCCTCCCCTTAATTCTTTGGTTTTTCCTAGTAAATTTTTGAGAAATCTAAATTTTGGTGATGGCACTGGTGCTAAAGAGATCTTAAAAGTAATAAAGGATGTGCTTAGCTGAAAAAATTCTAAATGTCATGCTCAAATGCTAAAGATTTCTTGAATTTCTTTTCTTTTTACATAAAATAAGTTGGTTTTCTTCTCTTTGCAGTTCATTGGAGAATCAATTTGAGAAATGGCAATAATAGCTCATAGATCTCATCGAGATGTGTGATTTAGCATCAAGAATTTCTGGATTTGGTGCAAGAATCAACACATACAGCTTTTATTTCTTCATGGCGTGCACATCAACAACTTTGGAAGCTTGGCATAAACTAAATACACCACAATTTCAGTGTATATTCTTTTTTGGTTTCTGAGCTTTTGGATTCCAGCAGGCAATTCCCTTTTCTTGAACTTGGGTGAGCTAAGTTGCATGGGGGTTTGGTGTGGGAGCTAGGAGACGTTAGCCATCTCTTGAAGCAATCATCTTAGATTTGGGCTATTATTTAGTGTTTTCTTGATTTGAAACTTGGCAAATGGTCATCACGATCTCTCTAGGGATGTTCTGAAGAGCACAAATGGCAGTTCTGCAAATGCACACACAAATGAGAGCAATAGGACAAGTATTGCAATCGCTTCTAATGTTCATGATATCTGGTTTGCCAGAAAAAAAGAGACCAATAGTAGAAACATTGTTGTTTCACAGATAAAGCACTCAGGTGAAGCGAGACACTGGGTAGTTGATTGGGATATCAATCTTTTGGGTCAGATCATCAGATAAAACTCACAGACGTAAGAATGCTCCAGCAGAAAGGTCAAACGCCGTAGCCCACAAGTGATTTCATAAATATAACGTCATGCTACCAGATAAAAATAAACAGTTTTATTTCCCATTGCTAGAAGTTTAATTCCTATTTGGACACTTCTCGTTTGCCTTCTTGGCAATTGGTCGGGGAGCCGCCTGGGACGCACCCCATGTTATAAAGATTAAACCTCAGTCCATTCGCATTTCTAACTTTTCTTCTCAATTTTCCATCCAGCCATGGCTTCTCACGATCAAGATGTAACACTGCTCACCTTTTGGCCCAGCCCCTTCTCGATCCGAGCCAAGCTTGCACTGTTGTTCAAGGGCATCGATCACGAAGATCTCCCCCAGGATATGGACAACAAGAGCAACATCCTACTCGAGTCCAATCCAGTTCACAAGAAGGTCCCGGTTCTCATCCACAATGGCAAGCCCATCGCAGAGTCGGTCATCATTGTCCACTACATCGACGAGGTTTGGCCTGGAAAATCGCCACTCTTGCCGCAGGACGCATTCCTCCGCGCACAGCACCGCTTCTGGACTGATTTCATCGAGAAGAAGGTATTATTTGCTGCTATAACTCTTCTTGCTTATCGATCACGCAGATTTTCGACTCCTTGGTACGATTCATGCGCAGCAACGACGGTGGCGCTGCCGTGAACGAGGAGTTCATCCAAAACTGTTTGCTTCTCGAGGGAGCTCTGGCGGAGCTGGGCGATGAGGAAGAGGGCCCCTTCTTTGGCGGCGGGAGCATGTCGTTCTTGGATGTGATGCTGGCTCCCTATGCGGTGTTGATCCCAGGGGTTGAGCAAGTGATGGGCTTGAAGCCCGCGAGCCGGGAGCAATGCCCGCGTCTCCACAAACTCTTCGGGGCCGTGGCCGAGCATCCCTCGGCCAAAGTGGCGCTGCCGCCGATCGACAAGCTCAAGGAGTATATCCAGGCTCGCTATGGGAGCAAGTGAGCGATGAAAAGCTCTCTTGTTATTGACCGTTCCAAGTTGTCTATGATAATCTTACATTAGCGTTGCTTGCTTTGCCTTCCTCGAGAAACGGTCATATCGCTAGCTCGAGATAACAAAAAGATTTGAAGCTAGCTTTTCTGCTTCCCACACGGCTCTTCCTGTGTGACCCAGTGCGCATAACTTGACCATCATCCACGAAAGGAGCTCATCGAGATATAGAATGTCATATAATCTAAATGTTTTCCTTCCAAAGATCATCGCCAACAAACTCTAGTGGACAAGTACTAATAAGAAAGTCATTTTCGTACAAGAATATCCGAAATCTATGTCCTTAATCGATTGCAAGAATAGAGATTCTCCGGGCCAGACCTAGTCGATGACGATGATTTTTGCCCTTGTGGATAAGAACCGAGATTGGAGTCGAGGAGGATCTTGCCACAGATCCTGCGACCTTTGAGCAACAGTGCAAGTTGCTCGCATGAAAAAGAGGCTGGCCCATGATCATGGATGCAATTTTGATGAATTAAGTTTGATGATTTCCAAGAAACTAATTCTCTTTCTCGGTTTGCCCCGAGCGTCAAGGGTAGAGGTGAGAATCTGGGATGGCAGATTTATTGACACCGCCTCCGTTGAGTAGGAATGCGTTTAATTCTTTCAGGCTTCTCTCCAACACGCAATTCATTATTTCTTTCCCTTTCCTGCCGTGACGTGTTTGAAAGGTGCAGGAAGATGAAACCTTGACTCCCCAGAAAGAAAAGGACGGAGAATCGCCTTGTGTGGAGAGCTACGAGGGTGGTATTGTTCCTCGTTACAAGGAGGCTGTCACTACTGCATGGAACGGCATCTAAAGCTTTCTCGAAGTCGAGTAAGATCTCTTAAAAATCTTTGAAGTTACTTGTTAGTAGAGAGAACTTTCTCTTAAGAGTGAGGAGTTCATGCGTGATCTTGCCAGGTTTCGTTCATTCTCATTAACTTTGAAATACAAAACACGGTGATTTCATGAACTGTACGCAAACTAGGTGTTAGTGTCCAAAGATCCATCCGAGCCTAACAGGAGTTCATGTTTGATGAAGATAGACGAGGATGACGAAGAGGATACGTGCTAAAAGGAGTTTCTTATTTTTTTCTAGTTATAGAAACAATCACACTACCCAAGACTCATTGGATCGATCACGTTCTAAGAGATCTTCTTTTCCGGATCCATGGAAGGCCTGAAGCTATTCAGCCACTATTCTCATCGGGTCGAGATCGCACTGCTTCCTCCGGCTACTAGCCCACCGGCGCCAGCCTGAGGCATGGGATTACTAGATATTTTGACTCTCGAGTACTCTCTTCCATCGAGTCATCATCACCCTCAAATTCCAATGCCGCATCCAGCAGATGCGCAATCAAGCCTTGGTCTTGTTCTACCTCTGGATTTCTAATTTCTTTGACTGGACTTTTTTTACGTTTGCGTTCTCTTCAAGAGGAGCCGCCTTGGACGCACTCCATCCATGTTATCCCTTCATTCAGTCAAACCTCACTCCAGTTGCATTTCCAATTTTTCTTCCGAGTCTTCCAGTTATGGCTTCTGTAACACTGCTCACAGTTTGGGCCAGCCCCTTTTCCATGCGAGCCAAGCTTGCACTGTTGCTCAAGGGCATCGAGCACGAAGATCTCCCCCAGGATTTGGGTAACAAGAGTAAGCTCCTGCTCGAGTCCAATCCAGTTCACAAGAAGATCCCGGTTCTCATCCACAAGGGCAAGCCCGTCTCCGAATCGGTGATCATCGTCCACTACATCGACGAGGTCTGGCCCGAAACAAGCCCACTCTTGCCTCAGGACGCATTTCTCCGCGCAAAGCACCGCTTCTGGACCGATTTCATTGACAAGAAGGTATGGGGTTTCTTCGATAAATCTGCTGCTATTTCTTCCTTTATTGATCACACAGATTTTCGACTCCTTGGCACAATTCATGCGCAGCAGCGACGGTGGCGCTGCCGTGAACGAGGAGTTCATCCAAAACTGTATGCTTCTCGAGGGAGCTCTGGCGGAGCTGGGCAGTGAGGAAGATGGCCCCTTCTTTGGCGGCGCGAGCATGTCGTTCTTGGATGTGATGCTGGCTCCCTATTCGGTGTTGATCCCAGGGGTTGAGCAAGTGATGGGCTTGAAGCCCGCGAGCCCGGAGCAATGCCCACGTCTCCACAAACTCTTCGGGGCCGTGGCCGAGCATCCCTCGGCCAAAGCGGCACTGCCGCAGATCGAGAAGCTCAAAGAGTTTATCCAGGCTCACTTTGCGAGAAAGTGAGCGATCAAATTGATAGCGAGTTTAAGGTTTTCAATGTATTAGTTCGTTCACTAAAAGGCCACCTCTAGGGCTATCTCTTTCGTTCTGTCGAAAATGAAGCGCGAGCATGGAGATTGGGATTTTCAGACACTAGATCTTATGCCACAGCCCAAGAAGGTGAAAACGAAGGGTGAGTTTACTACATGTATTCTACCGCCACCTCTGGATCCAAACAAGCCAACGTTGGTTTTGGACATGGACAACACCCTCATCCATGCCCAAGAGGGGAAAGCAACGCTCAGGCTCTTCAGCGGGAAAGTTGTGCCACTGGAGCGCTACATGGTGGCTAAGCGGCCCGGTGTGGACGAGTTCCTGCGAGACATGGCAAAGCTCTACGAGATAGTTGTGTTTACCGCGGCGATGCAGTACTATGCAGACAAGATTCTGGACAAGCTCGACCCAGAGGGATTGATCACTCACCGCCTGTACCGGGATTCGTGTGTGTCTTGCGACGGAGGGGAAACGATGATCAAAGACTTGTCGCGCTTGGGTCGCGACTTGAAGCGTGTGGTGATCGTGGACGACAATCCCCACTCCTTTTCCTTGCAGCCCAGGAATGGAATCCCCATCCCGGCTTTCAAGAACAGGAAGGGGCGGAAGTATTCACATCTCAAGGACATTGGGTTTTTCCTGGAGACATTTGCTAAGGCGGAGGATTTGACACGGGCCCTTGACATCGCCAAAACAAAGAGATACAGGAAGATTTGTAAAATCTTTTGAGATCGAATCAAATGATAAAATTTTGGCACTCCTCTATAATTCTTTCTGGAATATAAAATCAAGTTTCTCACAGCTATGCTATGTCGTTCTACCATTTTTTTTTTTATGAAAGCAATTGATTAGAAACTCTTAAATACAATTCTATTCTTCTTAAATTACAGTCTCTAAAATGCATCAGAAGGAATGTCAACCTGTTCTCCAACCCGAAAATTTAGTGAAAACCATAAACTATAACAGCTAGAGTCTCCTATCTAAGCTCGATAAAAATTTGTATCCCGGATTCTCGCACGCTTCTTCTATACTGGTAACAAAGAAGCACGCAAAAACTCAACATCCTTAGCCTTGGCAGCATCGCTGACTCCCAGATGCCCCCCTGCCATTCCAACCAAGAAAAATCGGCTAGCTTGGCCATACATGCGCGTCCAGTCCGGCTTACCAGCAAAGTGGACGCCCTGAGCATGAACCTTTTGCAGGAGGGACATGATCACATCATACTCAGCTCCCGCATCGAAGGTGCCACCATCGTCGTTTAACGATTTGAAGCGCTTGCCATACAAAGGAACCATTTTCGAGAAGTTGCCACAATATGTGAGGATAACGAAGCAAATGGTGGCGCCACGCACGAAACCATAGTCGAGCATCTCCGGAATGGCATCGCCCTGCAAATCCCGGAGCCGCATGTAAACGTCCACCTCACGAAGGAACCTCCGCAGGTAAAAGTCTGTATCCAAACACTCGCTTTGCGTCAAGTCCCTGAACTTGACGAGCACAAGCCTCCCATGGTACTCGGCAGACGCCAGGATCCGCCCCTTCTCTGCGTTGTGTGAGTAGATACTAGGCTCGCTCAGGGCATGTAGATCGTCCCACCACGAAAGCTTCTCCACAAGCTCGTCCATGTTTGCAACACCCTGCTCCTTGGCAAGCTTCCGAAGCCTCGCAAGAATCGGCACACGATCAAACGCTCGAGGCCCCGTCCCTGTAAAAGGAGCCTGGAGATCGGGAGGAATTGGCACTGCTCTAGCTTCGCAGAAGTTCTGTGCCTGCCATGCCACAAATCCGCAAGCTTTGAGCGTGTCGCCGCTGTTGTAGAGCAGCGGAGGTGAGATCCACAAGCACCCATCCAAACCCGGCAGCCTCTTGCAAGCAAAAGTTTTGAAGTAGGAGGACAGAATCCCAAAGTGTGAGCCCGTGAGCAACATGTACGAGTAGAGCCTCGCAGCTTGAATCTCCAGGCTGCTGTTCTTCTCGTCGAGATTCATCGCCATGACACCAACGAGACACATCTTCCTGCAATCCGGCAGAGAGGGAATCCCAGGATCTGCTCTGACCATCGCATCGGGGTAGCAGCACAAGGCCGCTAGTGAAGTGTCCTGGATTTGCCCGGACATATGCAGCAGATTCAGTGCGATCCACCGAAAATGTCCCAGCGGACAAGCATCTGGAGCTGGCAAATCGTCCGGCTGCTGCTGGATCCACTCGTCCATCTCTCCATGAAACGACCACCAGCAGCGCATCTCAAAGTCGAGCGGGCAGAGCTCGGCGAGCGGCGGTGGCGAAACGTTGGAGTACGTGCGGATCACTAGCTCAGGGAGCTCGGGCAGCGGGGTCTGGACGAACTCCTTCCAGCTCGCGTCCTCGACGTCAACGATCCACTCCTCAAACACGTTCGCGGATGCCCGCCACGCTTTCTCTGGGTCGGCCTGGACGGGATTGATACGAGTCGGCTCCACGCGAACCATCTCCTCTTGCCAGTGCTGCGGGAGGACGACTCTCGGAGACGCCCTGCTCGCTGTTGCAACTTCCATCTTGCGCGCGATCGACCTGAGGATAGGACTGCCTGAAACCCCACTTCTTACCCTCTGCAATGGCGGCTGGACAGCGGCAGGAGGTGCTTCCACGCGAGCGACTTCTTCCATAGCCCTAGCTTTCACCAAAATGCGAACTTTGGGTGCAAGAATATTCTAAAAGAATCATTTTTAGGGTTACGGCCTACAATATAATATCACCTCACCCAGTCACAGCATACTCAGGCTGTCACCTCACTCAGTCAAGGCCTACTGGCGTAGGTCTGGTGAGGTAGAACTAGACAGAGCTGGCAAAGATTCCCAGCTGGTAAAAACGATTTTAACTCTAGTCAAAGAGTTTTTTGACTCGCTGTATAAATTCATGGTCACCGCACCGGGTAAAACAACAAGTCTTTTGTGTTTCTTTGATTGCACAGTTTGCCCAGTTAGTTACTTGGTCGGATTTGTTGGCTTTCTAGCATCGCAGCTTCTTTGCTGTCTCCCAATGCTCTACAAGCATGCTTCCCCGGCAGCATCGTCTTGATAGGATGCATCTCTCCGTTGCACCAATCTCCCTAAACTTTGTGTCTTGGTCTAGCATCGTTGCATGTCCACCATCGCTCGTGAAATAATCCCGACTGGCCGAATTTTCCCAGGTTGCTTTCAAGAAAGGAGCAAGCCAGCCAGCCTCCCCCCCCCCCCGGGTCTCTCTCTCTCTCTGTGTCTCTGTGAACCAAGTCACCACCTCCAACAGCAGCGATCTATACACTTGCGTGTCCGGATCTTCCCGTAAACATCCACAAGCAAAGTGGCCAAAGTTTCATCAACGGCCCTGAAGATCCTTGCTTCGATCACTTTGAGCTTGTCCAGAGCCACGGCCGCTCCCCAGGCCTTGAGCACGAGGAAGTTCGCCATAGCTTCCATCTCCAGCATCCAACATCCTCAGGAAGAGCTCCAGCGCTCGCCATTTTCGCTGTCTCCCAGCAAGAGGGTGTTCTTTCTCTTACAAAGCGATTTGCCACGATCTTAAATCCCTGATCAAGGTCTCTCTCTCTCTCTCTCCCCCTCTGTCTGTCTGTTAGCTCCTCATCACAGATACCTGTTATGAGCTAAGCTTTTGATTGCAGGTCGTTGCATCCTCCGTCTTTTTCATCCGACCACGGCTTCCTTCTGCGGTTTTTGTTGGGGGTGCTTCTTTCCTCTGGCCTCGTCAAGCCCGTAAAGTTCTTGGAATCCAGGCGTGAGTAAAATTTCCGAGCCATTTCATTCTCCACAGAGCTACACTCACATTTTTCTTTTTGTTCCAGGTTCCACGCCGATCGAGGTGAAGCCCTTGCAACTGCTCCTCTGCGCTTCATTTCTCAAGCTGCTGTGTTCACACACACACACACACACTCTCCCTGCCTCCCTCCCTCTCCGTGCGCTTCATCTCTGATGCCGTGAGCTTCATTTCTTTCTCTCTCCAACAGCCGCGAGCTCTTTTTTTTTTATTGATTCTTCAAAATAAGGTAATCTATGACTCATAGTTTTATTCATGCAATTGTTTTTGTATAATCTAGGATGGAGACAAGGCAAAGAAAACAAAAAGGGAAAATGATTGATATGGGAGGACCTAATGTCAATGTTCAACCAAATTTATTATCTTTTCATGATGCACTTATTGATATTACAATCCCTGACCAAAAGTATAACACTCCAGATTCACAAGGAGAAAGGTAATTTTCATAATTGCATGCTTATGGTATTCTTAAAATCTTTTTTAGAAAGACAAAGCTAACAGAAACTCAAGTATCTCAACTTACAACGAAAATTAATATTGAAGAAAAACTTCTAGATATTGTTGAATGGGATTTTGATGCTGAAATCTTTCCATTACTCCAACAAAGTAAACATGTTTTGCAAGATTTCAAAGTGAGTATTTTCAATATATTATTATGTGTATATTTATCTTTTTTTTGTTTCTAAGGTTCCAGCCATCCAAACATATTGTCTTCCTTTGGTGGATGAGGAAAGCATACGTTGCTTTTTACATCCTTATATTAAATTATCTTCAATAGGAGCAAAAGAATTTTTTAGAAGAACAAAAGGCATTAATATTGATTTAAGTTGGACCATAATTACTGCCCCAACCACTAAAGATTTTTATCTTAAGCCAGATTTTGGATTATTTAAAACAATTATAGTTGAAGAACCAAAGTCAAAAGAGCAATTTACATATTTTATTTCTGCCTATTTGTTGGGAGAAGGGAAATTTTTTGAAAATATGGCTTGGAGTAAGTAAAGTGAATATCCTAGTTTATTATAATGAATTTTTCACAGGTGGTAATACAAATCTTAAAAGACTATTCTCTAGAACACACACTCACAATGCTCTTTCTCAAATATATCAATATATGCTTTTTAACAATCTGCCTTATGCACTATTAATGACTGAAAAATGTATATGGTTATTAAGAAAACAACATCTTTTTATTGAGGTGATTATTCATACATGTATAGTTTTTTGGTTTTATTTTTGTTTCTTTTACAGGCAAGTCGAGGGTATTTAATTCATGATAATAATATAAAAATGACTGAAGCTATGTACGCAATGGCATTATTGTCAATCAAGGAAAAGGTAAAGACAAAACAATTCCTTTAGCTATTTTGCGTTCTAACTACTAAATGGTTGATTTAGGGTCTTTGATGCGACGAGACTAGGTCGGGAATGTGTCGGCAGTATACACAGATGGTGAGCATTCTTTTTTGTGTACTCGAGGGAATTCTTCTTCTTTTATTTCTAATGGAAGATTGTGATCTGACATAGCTTCCTCAAAGACATTCGCTCATCCACTTGAGATTGTAGGCCAAGCAAATGTGCTGATGGGATCCGATCAGCAAATTCTTGTTCCCGATCGATTTAGCCAAGAACATGCCTGAGAGGAAACCTGAGCTGATCAAAGACCTTGGTTCGATCAAACGCCACGCAAAGATACCCAAGAACTGCGTTCTCATAACGTGTTCCCAAGAACCCATGCCACTAATGCGTCTAGTCCTTCTCCCCGGTTCTCGAGAGGTAACAACCCTGGGTAAACCGAAAATACGTAGGCTGGTTCCCTTATCACGCATTGCTCTTCCGAAATTCTGCGTTTCGCTGGAAATCCGCGCCGCGAAGACTTGGTGCAAACAGTCTTGACACTTTTCTTCCATTCCAAGACGATTTCCATCCATGGCGCCTTGCGATCGATTCGTGACCCTGCTCAACGCCCCTTTTCCATGCGAGCCGTGCTCAAAGGCGTCGAGCACGAAGATCTCCCCAGGATCTGGGAAACGAATAAGATCCTAGTTCAATCCACAAGAAAGGTCCCGGTTTCTTATCAGCTTCTTTTGCTCCTACGCGGCGTGGACAGGAGCTCTTCGAGACCAAAATCTTTTTAGAGCTCTGTTTCTAGGTCAATTAGGGCTCATGGAATGGAGGAGCGGGAGAAGCTCCGAGCGCTGCTAGAGCATTCCGCGACATCGGGATTTTCTCTCCAATCTGGTGCTCAGGTAGCATTTCTCTCTTCTCGTGCTCGCTGATTGTGCCTTTTCTCTTTTCTCTCCAGTTGCAGGAATGGCTGGAGAGGTTTGCCGCCAGCGTCAAGGGCAGAGCTGAGGATCTGCGAGCGCAGATTGATCGGCTCGCGGATCACACCGCCTCCGTTGAGCAGGATCTAAAGAACGCGTTTAATTCTTTCAGGCTTCTCTCCAACACGCAGTTCATTGAGAATGTGAGTGCTTTTCTTTTCCTTTCATGTGTTTGAGAGACTTCGCCTCAACTCTGTGAGCAGCGTGTCTATGAGGAAGACGAAACCGTGACTCCCGAGCAAGAAAAGGATGGAGAACCGCAGCGTGTGGAGAGCTACGAGGGTGATATTGCTCCTCGCTACAAGGAGGCTGTTACCACTGCATGGAACGAGCATCTAAAGCTTTCTCGAAGCCGAGTAAGATCTCGTCAGTTCTCTCGAGCTTTTCCTGTGGTTGAGAAGATGTTACTTTCTCTTATCAGGAAGCGAGGCCCAGGAGTTTGCCTTATATAATTGGAAGCGAGGAGTTCATGCGTGATCCTCACTGTGGCTTGCCAGGTTTCGTTCATTTATTTCTCGAAACATTGAACACGAGCTTTTCTTTTCTTGTTTTTCAGATTTGAGAGACAAAGCGTCCACCTCGGTGACACGAGAATACGACTCTGAAGCCGAAAAGGATGGGGTTAACATGGCTGCTGAGATGGTTGCCGGTGGCGTGATTTCGGACGGTGAATGGTCAGAGCCCAGTAACGAGGCACCTGAGGATCAAGTAAGCGAGAGTTTTATTCGTTCTAAGTCTCTTATCTTCGTGTTTTTGCTTGTTCACAAGGATCACCACGAACCAGCCGTCTCTGCTGCTCTGGACTTCAAAGCAATGCTTGAAGCGGCCCTGCGAGCTTCATATGTAACAAGTGAGCATCGGTTTTCTGTCTATTTAGTGTATGATTTGTTTTCTTAGGTGACGATGGCTCAAGAATGGATCCCATATATGAACCAGCAAACGTTAACGCGGAAAATGAGTTAGTATCATTTTGCTGGTCGCTCCACTCAATGCATGCTTTCTAAAGTTTGATGGCAGGACTGGCTTGGGAAGCGCGAGCAACAATGACATTGTAAACGAAGGAAAAGCTACCCTTGACGACATACTTGGCAAAATCGCTCGGGAAGCTGACCAGCGTCACTACTCTCCGCAACAATTGGAGGAGGAGAGAGCAAGGCGAGAAGCAAAGTCTCAAATCCTTCCACCTCCAGTACAGCCAGATGCGAGCTCTTCGGACAAATCCTCCCACTGGAGCGAGAGCGAGGAAGACGCGAGCTCTCACCACGAACCTCGAGTATCCTTTTCTTTTCCTGCTGGCACACAACCGGAGTTTCCAGACGTCGGGCAAGAGTAAGCTACCAGCTTTTATGTTCGTCTTTGAGTTTGTGAATTGTTTTCTCCAGAGAATCGCGATCTCAAGCAGCCGAGAAAGCTGGGAGCAGCTCAGGTGAGTGGTGTGATTTCATAAACTTTACGCAAACTTGAGAGTGGGCTTTCTTCTACAGACGAGACGCTCGTGTCTAAAGATCCATCAGAGCCGAGCACGAGTTCTGCTAGACACAAGTCCCTGTTTGATGAAGATGAGGACGACGATGACGAGGAGGAGAAGGAAGAAGAAAAGCTGTCCAAGTTAAATCCGGTGTCACCGCAACCAAGCTTGGTCGCAACATCCACGAGATCAAACGAGACGCCGGAACCACTGAATCCAATCGTGACGCCACCGATATCAAACGAGACGCCGGGAGCGCTGAGTCCAATCGTGACGCCAACGAGATCAAAGGAGACGCCGGGAGCGTTGAGTCCATCACCGACGAGGCTAAACAAGCCGGCAGCAGCACTGCCATTCCGGAGCACCGCACTTTCGAGCCTTCTCTTTGGAGACGAAGACAATGACGATGACGAAGACGCTTTGTTCGGGCCGGTCGCTTCTACTCCATTTGTTAAACCATCCAACGATTTGTAAATCTCTTCTGGCCATATTCCAAACTTTGTCAAAAGTCGAGACTTAGATGGTCAGCATATAAGAACCTACGTGACAATTTAAAGCGGTCAAAATCACAGCGTGGCTGGTTTGCCCGAGTGGTCTAAGGGGGATGACTTAAGATCATCTACACACAGTGTGCGTGGGTTCGAACCCCACAGCCAGCAAATTCTGTCGTTATTAATTTTTATTTACTTTATAGTTTTTAATTTTGAATAATATTTACAAATCACACTTTAAAATATTTACAACAAAGGTTTTAAATTACAAACATCTGACTTTCAAGTGAAGGACTTTCCGGCCCATTCGCGGTTGCGTCTCTTCATCTTGGCCTGGATTTTGTTAAACTGCTCTTTGCCTTTCTCTAACAAAGGATCCACAACTACGTAGTGGTCGAGCGCTTCCTTCCTGGCCATTTTATCCTGCGTTGAGCGAACAAAGAGACCATCGTCACGAGATCACACAAACTATAGCTCTCACCTTTCTGTCCAGCTCGAACTTGAGCTTGTGACTCAAAATATCCGACGCTTCGTCCTTGTCAGGCTCGGCTGCTTTGTGACTGGAAAGCTTCTCCCGAAACTTATCCAGCAAGGCCATTGTCTGGAAAACAAAAGATTGTAAGCAATGGAGAAGTTTTGTGAACGAGACCACGTACTGTTTCTTCCCGACTGCCGAGATTCCGCTTGTGTTGCTTAACTTTTTGCCGTCGTTGCTCTTGGGGAGTTAGAAGCTGCATTTCGACGTCGGTCTTGAGCGCTATCTCTGCCCTTGCTTCTGATCCCAATCCCCGCTTTTTGATCACTAGTTTGTCTTTCCTTATGTCACTCTCTTCCTCCTCTTCGTCCTCGTCATCGTCCTCGTCATCGTCTTTCTCCGGTTTTTGGATAACCTTGGATCTGCTCAGCCAGAAGCGTTTAGAACGAGGATTCGGGGAGAAAACTATCAGATACGTACTTTTTGTTTTCTGCTACCGCTTTAGCTGCAAAAACAAACAATCCGCTGCTAGTCACAAAAATCGTTTAAGAAAATCTTGTTGTACCTTTTGTTTCTTGTTGAGGATCCCAGAGCCTCTTCTTTTCAAGAAGCTTTTGCCTCATCTTCTCGTCGAAAGTTTGATCTTGGTCTTCCCCATCACTCGCAACATCTTCTTCCTCCTGTGCGGGTAAAGGGTTCTTGTTTGCCAAGGCTTGGCGAACTGCACTTAGCTCACGTTGTTTGTCCTCCTATGTGTGATACGAGATTCCAAATCTAAACAAAAAAACGTTGAAGTCCAAAGCACGTACCTTAGTTTCGGGACCAGGGACCTGAGATTTCAGCAATCGCGGATCATCCAGAACATCATGGCTGCTTTTTATTTTCTCCTTGATGACAGACGCTTCTTCATCTTCCTGAAGAGCCTCCTCACCAAAAGACAATAGATTTAATCTCCTGAATACAGCAAAAATCTTGAGAACCAAACAAGAGCTCCAAATCTGATCTTACTTTTTCTGCTTGACTGGCTTTTCTTCTGTCTTGGCTCCGGACTTATCCACAGGTTTGTGAAGTTTTCTCGGTACAATATCATCAAAGGGATTCCAAACGACCTGGAAGAACCTTCATGAGCCTGAAAGGAGAAAGCAAATAAAAGAGTAAAGATCACACTTATTCACCTCAGTGGAAAGTACAGAGTGAGGATCTGTAGGCCGGTCATCTTCGTCAGGATCACACTCTGCAATCTTCAACAGATTGTAAATCGTATCTCCCGTTACCTGTAACTCACTTGAGAACATCTACAACAACAGAAAAAAGAAGAAGAAAACCTTTCCAAAGATCGTGTGCTTGCCATTGATCCAGTCGCAGCGATCCAAAGTTATGAAGAACTGGCTGCCATTCGAGTTTGGCCTTCCCTCGTTTGCGCAGGCAACAAAACCTCGATGTCGAAACTTCAATCGCGTGTGAATCTCGTCGGGAAAAGGTTCTCCGTAGATGCTCTCACCACCTAAGTTCCACAAACTAATACTAAGAACACAAGGAGAAAATAAAAGAACGAACCTTTCCCAGTGCCCGTGGGATCGCCCCCTTGGACCAGAAAGCTTGGAATCACTCGGTGGAACAATGTGTTGTTGTAATAGCCTTCCATACAGAGCTGGACGAAATTCCGGGTCTGGAAGTGATAGGCGCTCGCATTGTCAAGCACAAAATCGATGAGAAATCTCACGAACTTACAGCTTGCGGAGCTTCCCTGGCCCAGAGCTCGATGTCGAGAGGCCCGGAGGAGGTGTGGAGAACCACCTTCCCCTTGGTGAGAGGCTCGAGCACGTACACGGACGACATTCCCGCTCCTTCGCCCTAAAACCAAGAACCCTAAATTGGAAAGATGAGCTGCTTTATAGCCCTTTAATCAAACAATGCAAGCATTTTTATGTGATGTGTTCTTCCTCCTTGGCCATCGCTGCGATCGATACAGAGACGGTGGAGGAGCTCGCAACCCGGTTGCGGCAGTGTGGCGGCTCCAGAGATCTCGCGCAAGGCAAATTTGTTGTCGAGGAGATCATCCAGCGCAGCCCCAAGCTCCGCAAGAATAAGTACTTGGCGAATTTGGCAGTCCAAATGTATGGGCGATGCGGCAGCCTGGAGGAGGCGCGGCGTGTCTTCGACGCGATCGAGCAGCCCAACACTTTCTCGTGGAACATCCTCTTCACGGCTTACGCGCACAACGGGCAAGTGACGGAAGCGCGGCGGGTTTTCAACTCGATGCACGAGCTCAATCTTGTGTCATGGAACGCGATGATGACTGCGTATGCTCGCGCGGGCGACGTCGAGCGCGTCAAGGAGCTCTTCGACTCGATGCCGGAAAGAGATCTTGTGTCGTGGACTCTTTTGATATCAGCATTTGCCCAAACTGGGCATTTGGAGTCCGCAAAGAGGCTGTTCGATGAGATGCCCGACAAGGACGCGGTGGCGTGCACACCGATCATCCAGGCCTACGCTCGCGCCGGGCGAATCGATCATGCCAAGCTCGTCTTCGAGAGCATGCCGGAGAAGGATGGGATTCTCTGGAACTCGATGCTGCAGGCCTACGTCCAGCACGGGCATCTGGAAGGGGCAAAATCCTTCTTCGAATCGGTTGTGGGCGATGAGCGAGCGAATCGCGATGTCGTGTCGTGGAACATGATGATCCAGGCACACGTCCAGGATGGGAATCTCGACGCGGCTCGGGCGATCTTCGACCAAATGGTCGAGAGGAACGTCACGACTTGGAACACGATGATCATGGCTTACTCCCGGGGTGGCAATGTTGAATCCGCAAAGGTGCTGTTTGATACTATGGAGGAGCGTGATCTTGGCTCGTGGACCTTGATGGTTTGCGCGTTTGCGCAGCGCGCTTGTCTAGAGGAGGCCAGGGTGGTGTTTGATTCTATGCCCGAGCAGAACGTTATCTCGTGGACAGCAATGTTTACCATGTACGCGCAGAGCTTTTTCTTGGATGAGGCTAAAACTCTCTTTGACAAAATGCCAGAAAGAAACGTTGTCTCTTGGACCGCAATGCTTACTGCATTTGCCGAGAGCCGGCATTTGAGAGAAGCGAGAGAAGTCTTTGAAACGATGCCGGAACGAAACTTAGTCTCGTGGAACGCGATGCTCTCGGCTTACTCGGAACTTGGTCTGATTGAGAGAACCAAGAACTTGTTTGAGATGATGCCGGAGCAGAACGTAAAGTCGTGGAGTGCCATGATCGGAGTTTACGCTCACGCGGGCTACAACACCGGGGCGGTGGACGTGTTTCGAAGCATGGATCTGGAGGGTGTTCGTCGCGACGAGATCTCTTTCATGAGCATCCTCAACGCTTGCAGCCACCTCGGGCTCTTGGAGGAATCGTGGAAGCAGTTCAACTCGATGAAGGAAGATCACGATCTCTCGCCCGGAGTGGAGCACTACTGCTCCATGGTAGACATTCTCGGTCGAGTGGGATTGCTGGGTGTTGCGGAAGAGCTCGTCAAGCGGATGCCTTTCCGTGCCGACTCGGTCACTTACGCGGCCCTTCTCGCGGCTTGTAGAGTTCACAGAGATCCCAACTGCGGTACCCGAGCAGCGAACGAGCTCATGGAGCTGGAGCCGGAGAATGCAGCATCTTACCTGACGCTGGCCAACATTTACTCCGCTACGAGCAAGTACTCGAGAGCCATGCGAAAGAAGCTGAAAGAAAGAAGCTTGAGCCCAAAGTCGAGAAGGAGGAAGAACGAATGTAGCTATGCCGATAAAGGTCTCGCAGGATCTATAGGGAGCTAAAGCCGGCCATGCATGTTTGCATGCGTGAAAAAGAGACTATATGTGCTTGAGAAGGGAGAGTCTTCCTTTCGCTCCGAGGATGGACATAGACTTTGGTGTCAAGGCCGCGGTAAGGTGGTTCCTCGGCTGGATCGCGGCTGCGTTTTTGCTTGTGATATTTCCGTTGGTGGTGCCTTGCATGCTGGGGTTTCGTAAGATCCGCAGTGCTTTCACGAGCTCCAAGACGATTAGAGGCAATGTGGTGATTGTTACGGGGGCTTCGTCAGGAATCGGCAGCGTAAGTTTTGTTTTTTTTTTTTTTTCTCGGATTGAAGCTAACTTCTTTCTCCCTGTGATTGGGCTTGCAGTTCATAGCTTTGGAGTACGCAAGATATGGTGCAAGGCTGGTGCTGGTGGCACGAAGAGAGAACAAACTAAGAGAAGTGGCGGAAGCGTGCTTGGAGGCTGGAGCTATGGACGCAGCCGTGTGTCCAGCTGATCTCACAAAGGAATCCGATTGCCGACGCATCGTGGAGTTCACAGTTTCTAGATTTGGTCGAGGTATTTCTTTCTTCCATTTTTTGTTAGATTCTTCTGCTTTGTCGATGTTTTCTACTCAAGTTCCTTTGCTAACTTTTTACTGCATTGAAGTTAATGTTCTCGTCAACAATGCTGCCATGGCCGAGAGCGGACTTTTTGAGGATTATGAAACTACTGGCAGCTTTCGACGAACAATGGTATTAAAAATCGATTTTTGTTTTTCTTCTATGATACTTTTTCTCCTTGATTAACGTGATCACATTTCAGGACGTCGATTTCCTGGGGGCCGTGCTCACCACAAAGTATGCATTGGAACATCTCGCGCGAGCCAAAGGTCAGCTGGTAGTGGTAGCATCAGTCGCAGCCTATTGTCCATATCCTCGCCAGGCTCCATACAACGTATGAAAACTTCCATTTTTCCTTGACATTTTAATCGTCGCCTAAAACTATGTAAGCTTTTCCTTTCCAGGCCGCGAAGGCTGCCTTGGTCCAGTTCTTCGACACCCTTCGCACTGAACCAATCGGTCGATTGATCGACATCACAATCGTAATGCCGGGCTTCGTAGCATCGGAGATGACAGCCCACGCAGAGGTACAAATCCAATCACGCCAAGAACTTCTTCGTTTCATTGTTTTTCTCTCGAAACTAACGTTCTCCAGGGGCACATACCATGGTGGTGGCCGATGATACCAAGCGGGGACGCCGCCAAGGCCGTGGTGGACGCCAGCATCTCGAGGAAACGCCACGCGATCGTCCCAAGCTGGTACTCTTCCTGGCTTCCTTACCGAGCCTTCGCCCCGGAGCTCATGGAATGGCTACCGCGCGCGACGCTGGTGGGGAAGCCGCCATCGATCATGGTGAATCGAGCCCTAAACGCGATTCTAGGCGAGGAGCTCACCAGCAAGCTCTTCCGCGCCATCGCCGCGCTAAATTTTTGAATTTCAAAAAGATGCTAGCATTATTCCAAGGCTGTCCGGAATGGTAATGGGCCCCTGGCCGAAAGCCGGGAGAAATGTACGGCAGGCGATATGTCATATTTACTTAGTGCATTGATAGCCAGCTTCCGCGCTTAGCACAGCGTTTCAGGGTTTTGGGGTTTTGCGTGTCTTGTGTTCTTCGTGGCTATGGCGTCCGCGTCTGGTTCGGCGGCATCCAAGGCAGTGAAGCTCGCCAGGGCGGCGGCGCCGGCGGCGGCCAAGAAGGCCGGGACAGGAACGGCAGCAGCGGCGGCGGCGGCGGGCGGCGAGGGGCGCAAGGCCGCCGGGGGCTTGAACTTGGTGGTGCCAATCTCCGCCGCTGGGAGGAAGTTCTTCGGGCTCCAGGAAATGTCGAGGATCGATGCGATGAAGCAGATGTGGGTCTACATTAAAAGCCACAATCTCCAGGTATGGTCCTCTCTTTCTCTTTTCTTCTTCTCAGATAAATGGAAGATTTTTCATAGCTTTTTCGGTATCAATGATCGAATGTTTTTTTCTACAGGACCCAGAGAAGAAGAGGAACATCCTACCCGACGAGAAGCTCAAGCAGTTCCTGAGCTGCAAGGATCGGATCGACATGACCGAAATCCCAGGACTCCTCAGCCCACATTTCGCCAAGAAATCGGCGACTTAGGCGCTGTGTGAAGCGAGCGATCGTTCCCAAAGTACATGGATCCTTTCGATGACCCTAGCTTTCTTAGTTCGTAGCTTCTCTCATTCTATACTCCTTTGTTTCTAGCACAGCAGAAGGCCATCAATGTTAAAAGACCAGACCACTCTTACTCTTGCTTCAAACAACGTAGCGATAAGTCACGTATCGTCCGGCAGTCTCACTCGGCCGGATGATCTTCACGACTTGGCCGTGCTTGAGACCGTAGTATCGAGCCACTGGATCGCGATCCTGCATACGAGGAAGCTGTCACGAGCAAAAGAATGGTTAATTGATCAAGGCGAGCAACGAGAGCGAGTATGAGTTACCTGGCTTTCCTTGACAGTGTAACGCTCGAGCAGAGTTTTCTTCTCTTCCGCAGAGAGAACCTGGTGCTCGGGCACTAAAGTGTGCTCTTTGATGTTCACCAGTAGCTCCGCTTCCTGGAAGAACGAAGAAAGATTAGAGAAGAAAACTTATCCAGGAAGAACACTCTATCCGGGAAGAACCTGGAACACCTCGATCTGGTACTTTGGAGCCATCTCCGACAGGCACTGCTTTGCAAATGGCGTGAGACTCGTCTGGACGACCATGATCGCGCGAAACACGAGCTCCGATTTCATGCGCTCGGCGTACGTCTTGATCGTCTTCACCCCCACCTTGGGCTCCTCCGGGAAGAAGACGAAGATCTGGTCCGACTGGTCTGAGCGCTTGGCCTTGCTGATGACAAGATCGTCGCGCTTGGGCTCGTCCCCAAATTTGTCCCTGAATTGCTCCTTGGTGAGCGATACCTCGTAATCGGCCACCAGGTAGTCCCTGTCGCGCAGCATCTGCATGATCGTCCGCCGGATCCTGTAGAGCCGATTCGTGCTGTCATCCAGCTGCGCCATTGCCGCCTCTTCTTCTCTTCTCCTCCACAAGCCCTAAACCCAAAAACCCTAAACTCTGCCCACAAAAATTCAATTTTTTTGCCCACAATTTTAGGGCTCCTCCCGGCTATGGCAACCGGGATATGGCAGGCGCCTTCCGCCGGGCCGGGCGCTCGGCTCCAAATCTGCAAGGTAGGCAAAGATGCAGTTAGAAATCTCGCCGCATTGCGTGTTCTTTGGTCTTGCAGGGGGCAATCTTCGCAAGGGGACAGAAGATTAGCTTGAGGAACCGTGAGAGGCTGAGAATTATAAAGGTTTTTTCCGAAGAAGCAGCTTCTCGAGCTTGTGTATGGGGACGAAAGCTGCTAAGTTTCGAGATTGTTACGTATCACATCGATAGGCTGAGAAGGAGACAGTGGCTGCTGTTCTTAGTAACTTCTGCCTTGAGCATTGCGTTGATCGCTTCGGCACCAAACAATCTCTCTGCCTGTGAGTGTTTTTCCCTTGAAAAGTTCTTCTTTTCTATGGTTTTTGGATTGATTTTTCTCTCGGTATTTCCTAGGGGCTCTTACGGAGGAGAATTTACTGTTCTTGGAAGCATGGAGAACGATCGATCGGGCTTACGTTGACAAGAGCTTCAACGGACAAAGCTGGTTTAGATATCGCGAAAATGTGCTTCGGAACGAGCCCATGAATACCAGAGAAGAAACGTGTGAGTATTTTGCTTCTGGATTCTCTCATCTACTGACTTTCTTGGCTTGTTCCGATTAGATGGTGCTATTCGCAAGATGCTTGCAACTTTGGACGATCCCTTTACGAGGTTTTTGGAGCCAGAAAAGTTTAAGAGCCTGGTGGTGAGCAGCTTGTTTTTGTTGCTAAAAAGTTGCAGCGCTGATGATCATCTCCTGACTCCCGAGCTCTTGCTGTGTAGGCAGTCTGGCACTACGGGTGCTTTGACGGGAGTGGGCTTGGAAGTTGGATTTGACGCTAACTCGAGCGGCTTGCCAGACGAACTTGTAGTTGTGACGCCCGTGGCCGGAGGTCCTGCTGCTCGAGCAGGCATTCAGCCTGGAGATGTTATTTTAGAGATCGATGGAGAGAAGGTTGGAGGCTTGAGCCTTTACGATGCTGCTAAAAAACTCCAGTAAGTTTGTCTTGTTTATCTTTTGCTTTCAGTGAGACACCGGCTATGGGTGCAGGGGTCCGGAGAACTCATCCGTCATACTGACTGTGCTCAACAGAGAAAGCAGAATGGAGAACACGATGACATTGACGTACGTGTTTTGACTTGAGTTCTTGATGCTTGACATGGTTTGTCGTTCAGAAGAGAAAAAATCGTCGTCAATCCCGTGACGTGGAAGCTCTGCGAAGTCAGTTCCTATCAAAAGCTGGGATACATCCGCCTATCAACATTTAACAAGAACTCAGTTCGTAAGTGATTCTCCCAATCCTGTTTGTAATTTTAACGCATCGCTTGTAGGTGCTGTACAGCAGGCGCTGGAGGCACTGCACAAAAGCGGTGCGTCTGGTTACGTGCTTGACATCCGAAACAACGGGTATGCATTTCACTTATCTTTGTTTTCACAGCGGGTTTTTTATTCCAGCGGTGGATACTTCCCTGCCGTGATCGACATTGCAAAAATGTGGTAAAGTTTCTTGCAGTAATCCTTCTTTGCGTAGAAACCAAACGTTTTTCTAGGTTGGACAAGGGAGTTATCGTGTACATCGCTGACAACAGAGGGATACGAGACATTTACGAGGCGGACGGTGGTAGTGCCATAGCTCCTTCAGAACCTCTGGCTCTACTGGTATAAAAACGAAGATCTTTCTGAGTTCTCAACTTCTTCTTTCTCTCAGGTGAACAAAGGAACTGCCAGTGCGAGTGAGATTCTCGCTGGAGCATTCAAAGACAACGATCGAGCTACTGTTCTCGGCGAGCCTACGTTTGGCAAGGGGTACGAAGGCATGGATTTCATTTATAGTTGTTTTCCAACTCTCGCCTTTCTCTTTGCCAGGAAAATCCAGTCTGTGTTTGAACTATCAGATGGCTCTGGGCTTGTTGTTACTACTGCTCGATACCAGACGCCGGACAAGATTGACATTGACAAGGTAAGTTTCTTACAGTTTTTGCGAAGTTTACGTGATTCTTTCTCTTTCATACGTAGGTTGGTGTTTCTCCAGATCGTCCATTGCCAGAGGCTATTCCTCGAGACGGCGAAAGCTTTTGCAAGTGCCTCCAAGGCTCAGGTTCTCAGGAATGCCGCATTCCATTGTCGTCTCTCTTTAAAAAGTAAATGCTGTCTTTCGTTTATATGAAGGAAACCATTACCATGAGCACAAGCTTGCCGCCCTAGCTCAGTCGGTAGAGCGCAAGGCTCTTAACCTTGTGGTCGTGGGTTCGAGCCCCACGGGCGGCGCAATCATTTGCTCTATTCCCGCCCTATCTTTTCCCAACCAAGGCATTTTTTTCAAACCTAAGCATTGTTTGTTTTCCCCTCGTTTCTGGCTAGCATGGAAGATCCTCGTCGCTTGCCGTTTCGCCGCGTTCGATCCTTGCTCTGGAACGAGACTGCGGCGCTGCTCAATCCAGGGGAGCGCGATGTTGTGCGCAAGAGCATTGGCGCGGCTGTGATCGAGGAGAATGAGGTGCTCTTTCGGGAAGCGGTGGCCTACGAGGAGATTCTCCAGTTTGTGGACGAGGACATGCAACGCCAGGTCGCGTCGCACAAGATTTTGGATACCCCTGCCAGGCAAATGCTGGAGAAGGAGATCAAGATCCTGGTGGAGCACATCCAGGCCACCGATTCTTGCGAGGCGCAAGCGCAGCAGTCGCAATCTCTGGCGTTAGGGCTTGGCGATCTTTCTCCTTCTCGATCCCAGGCGGTAGATCAGGGATCTGGCCCTTCTTGCTCGTCTCCTCCTGTTGCCGCCAAGGCCGATCACCAGGTTTCTCCCAGGAAATCCGCCAAGAATCCCCTATCGCTTCACGGCCGGTGCAAGAGCACGCTGGATTACGTGATGAGCAAGAATGCGATCCAGGAGAAGCAGAAGAAAGGCAACCCCTCGCTGTTTCCCCCTCGACGAAGTGAAATCTTCTCCCGCGGCGACGATCATCCAGTTCTCAGGAAGGCCGCAATGGATCCATCGCTGATCGTGAGGAAGATGGCGCCGCATTTGAATGTCTCAGGGATCGACGCCATCAACGATCGCCTCCGCCACGCATTCGCCGCGGAGCATGTAAGAAACCGATCTTCTGTTTTTTCTTGGAGACTTTTATGCTAACTCGAATCGATCTATCTCTAGGACGCGCTTCTAGAGGATGTGGAATGCTTGAGGAGCTATCTCGAGGATTCAACAGACGTTTACTCCAGCGTAAGATCGATCCATCGATGGACTTTTTCCCGTTCTCACAGAACGGTTCCAGGTCAAGAACAATCCCCCGACGATCAACGACATGAAAGATTGCGGGAAGAAGCTCGAGGAGAGATGGACAGCGCTCAAGCATTGCCAAAACATCCAAAACATCCTCGCCCCGGTCCCGGTTGGCGGAGTGACAACCAACATCAATCCCATGAAAACAAGCACAGCATCGGGACCGGAGCCAGAGGTAGCGGTGCCTCAATCCAGAATCGCCTCGCAGATCTTTCCAGGCTCCAAACGATCGATCAGGCTTCCCAAAATGCAACGATAAAAGAGGTAACGTTATTTTGTTTTTCCCTTCGGTATAGGGCTTTCTAGGGTCCAAGGGCAGCGCTATGTCATGGCGGTCGTTTCGACCCATCTTGCGCAAGGTATGGTGGTAATGGATCTTCCATTCTTTCTCATCGCCGGAATTTGCAGCTCCAGACCGTGCGTGCTATTAACGGAGCCCGGAGTGCTCCAGAAATCCATGGTGAGTCATATTCTTCTCTTTCGATCTTAGTCATGGTTTTTTCTATCCAGGATCACGCTCTCTACATAGTTTTTGCCCGTCCAGCAGCTCTCGGGAGCTCCTTGCTTATCCAACTAGCCGCTCGGCCTATCGAATGTCTGCGCATTTGACGCCGGTGGCATCTTACGCAACTCAGCAGCAGGTAAAAATAAAAATCTCGCGGTCGCCACTGACCATCATGAGCTATCCATTTTTTTTTTTGTTCTTTGTTAGCAGACACAAGATAAAGGGATTTCTACTCAAGAAGAAGACCCTTTCGACTCGATCACCGATAAAATCCCGGAGAGGCCTGTCACGGTTGCGGAGGGGGCATCCTACGGTCTCATCATCCTCGCTGGGCTGGCTGTGGCTGCTGCTGCTGCTTATGCAGTGTTCAAGGAGCTTGTTTTCCAACCCAAGGAGTAAGCTTTTCTTTTTTCGTTTGAAAACGTTTTTCCCTCTTATCTTCCTTGTCACTGACTGTCACTGATAGGTACAAAATCTTTGGCAAAGCCCTGGACAGGGTCCAACACGACAGTCAGGTGAGATTTTCTTCTCTTTTGTGTGCCGTTTTAACAGAGTTCTCACACAACCTTGGGTGGACTATCAGGTCACGCTGCGCATAGGGACGCCTGTAACTGGCTATGGGCAAGAAAGCCGCCACAGAGCAGCGAGGCAACGGATCAGCAACAGAGTGTGGAAAGACGAGGATGGTGTCGAGAGAATTGAGGTACATTACTTACTGGTTCAAATCGGGATACACAACAGGCTAATCGTGTTTGTTGCAGATCATGTTCTTCATCCGGGGTCCTCAGGGCTCTGGCAAAGTCTACACCGAGATGTTCAAAGACAAGCTGGACCGGACCTGGAAGTTCACGTACCTGATCGTGGACGTGTTTGCTCCCACGCCGGCGCGCATAATGCTCGAGTCATACGTCCCTGCTTTGTAACAAAGCCATGGTTTCTGTAAAGCAAGGTACCGCGGGACAGTTTTGCTTTTCCTTTTCCTGTTCTTATATTATCTCAGCTACAGTGATGAATGATCAATGGTTCTTTAAGGGAGCTCTCTATTGCCTGGTGGTGGTAGTGGTATCCTCCTCCTTGAGGGCTCCAATGCCCCCCAGGGATTTGGAGGAACCTCAAAACTTTGCCGCTCCTCCTGCTCCTCCGGAAGAGTCCCCGTCCTTGTATCCATACTCGCTCACGCTCCATTTGCCGCGGCCTTTGTGAGCAGGGGCTTGAGCTTGGAAGCTTTGCTCCGGGAATCTCCCCTCCGTGAGAGACGAGTTGGACTGGGATCGAGGGTCGGCTCCCTTGAAGCACCCCTTGTGGAGTGTGAATCTGGCAAATGCCAAGTTGCGGCACATTGGAGAGGAGATATATAACTTGTCACTGATTTTTACCGCAGCTTTCGGCCCTCGCGCACCACGACTTGCTCGCCTTTCCCAATCACTCGCCTGCATTCCCGACAAACTACCCGATGGTTATTATCTTAGAGAAGCAGGATTCTTATTAGAGATGGGTATTATCTCTTACAGAAATTTTTTTTTTTTTTTTTTATGGGTGGCCATAAGATGCTGACAGTGAGACTTTCTCCATTATGCAGAGGTCTTTCTCACTTGAATGCCTCGATGACAGCTTGAAACTTGACTGCGGGGAGAGGTTTGAAGTTGACGTTTGAGAAACCTTGCGATGCGAGCAGCTCTCTCCACTCGCTTGCACTCCTCTGCTTCCCTCCAGTGAAAACTAGCATCCCCAGGTCTTGATCGATGACTGTCTTCTGATGTGGATCGAATATATGGTCCACGATTATGATTTTCCCACCGACTGGCAGTGCATTGTAGCAGTTTTTGAGTACAGCTTTAGCCTTTTCGTCGTTCCAATTGTGCAAAACTTTCTGCAGATTCTAAAGCTCTCAGGGTATCATCTTTTATCTTGAGCTTACACGCACCTGCATGTATATCGCATCCCCTTTTGGAACGGACTCAAACATGTCCCCAGCAATATGTTCTACTCCTAAATTTCAAAGAAAGATTAGAGAGAGAGAGAGAGAGAGAGAGAGAGAGAGAGAGAGAGAGAGAGAGAACCTGGAAAGTTTTGAGTGCCACTTGCAATTGTATGTGGAAGATCAAAGTTCACTCCCTTGATGTGTGGAAAGGCTTGCACAATCTTTGACACACTTAGGCCAGTGCCCCCTCCAACATCTACAAGAACTTGAGCAACGCTTTGGAAACCATCGTAGCCTTCCAGCACCCCGTTGATGATGATGTGACCAAAGCTATTAAGAAATCCGAACCATAAGTCTGCAAAAACAGGGTCGTTCGCAGCAAATTCAAAGATGCTTTTCCCATGAGCCTTAGCAAATGCAGAAGTTGAAGACGAAGTCCCTTCCAAAGCCAGTTCGTGCAGATGGTGCCAAGCAGCTTGCCCTGCCTCTGAGGTTGTCAACAGGAATAAGGATGCGAACGATTTTGGAGTGCCGTCTATGAGCCAGCGCGATAGAGAGTTGTGCCCAAAGACTCCAGCGGGCTGCTCTTCAAATATGTTCTTCCTGCAAAGAGATTGCATGAGCCTTCGGACAATTTCCGAGTTGTGAGCCTGGCCTGTTGCAGCTTGGAGAATGGTACATATCTCATCAACGTGGATTGGCTTGTCCGACTTCGCCAGAATATTGGGTATTCCCAGTTTGATGATTGCCTTAATCACAAATGGAGTAGAAAACGATTCAGCAAGAGAGAGCATCATATGATAGCTATCTAGCGCCTCCATAGTAAGGTTGTTCACAATAGAAAACTTAATGATACTATGACCTTTATAAAGCGGAGTTCGTAGATGACAACACCTTCACGTGATGGACACCAACAGCTCCCAAAACCTCCTCCTTATCATCTGCCCATGTCATTGTTGACAGTAACTCCCTAGATGGATGTTCATCCTTCGCTTTCATGTCTGGGCTACTAGATTTTAGACTTAAAAAATGTTAAATAGAGAAGTGCAGTTGCTGGTGAAAGGGCAAAACCTTTCAGAGTACCATCTCCAACATCTTTTGGCAGCTTCCGGCTCCCAAACAACCTTCCTTGCAGCCTGCGTGACATTTTGGACAGGCAGCTCGAGCTCAACTTGTTGTGGCTCCTCAAATTTGTTTTCCTCCTCTTTAACTCCTTTGCAAGCTTGATCTTCTCTTATTATGCACCCTTTGAAATGAAAAACTTGTATTGTACAGTTTTTCTATTTCTAGCTGATTTGGTATGCTAATCTAATGAACATCAGTGGCATTGCAACATCAACAATGAAGTCTTTATTTTAAAACCTACTTGCAATCTCTTCTTTTACAAGGGTCTATACTCAACCCAATGATATTATCTTAGAGAAGTCGGATTCTTATTAGAGATGGGTATGATCTTTTACAGATTTCTCTTGGTGGGTGAATCCTTAACTTTCTTAATGTCACTCTGAACTTCAATAATTTGGCATCCCTGCCTCATGACAACATCATCAAAAGTCTCTTCCACCATCATCACTAATGCTAGCCACAAGATGCTGACAATGAGACTTTCTCCATTATGCAAAGACTTTCTTACTTGAATGCCTCGATGACAGCTTGAAACTTGACTGACTGTGGAGAGAGGTTTGAAGTTGACATTTGAGAAACCTTGCAATGCGAGCTGCTCTCTCCACTCACTTGCACTCCTCTGCTGAAAACTAGCATCATTAGGTCTTGATTGCCGACTGCCTTCTGGTGCCTTCTTCTGCCTTCTTCTGTCTTCTTCTGCCTTCTTGTGGATCGGATATATGATTTTCCCACCAACTGGCAATGCTTTGTAACAGTTTTTGAGTACAGCCTTAGCTTTTTCGTTGTTCCAATTGTGAAAGTTCTGAGTGCCACTTCCAATTGTATGTGGAAGATCAAAGTTCACTCCCTTGATGTGTGGAAAGGCTTGCACAATCTTTGACACACTCAGGCCAGTGCCGTCTCCAACATCTACAAGAACTTGAGCAACGCTTTGGAAACCATCGTAGCCTTCCAGCACCCCGTTGATGATGCGACCAAAGCTATTAAGAAATCCGAACCATAAGTCTGCAAAAACAGGGTCGTTCGCAGCAGATTCAAAGATGCTTTTCCCATGAGCCTGCCCATGTCATTGTTGTCACAGCAATTCTCCAGATGGATTTTCATCCTTTGCTTTCATGTCTAGGCCACTGCCACCACCGCCTCCTGCAGAAAGGTCAACTGTCAGATCACGAACGCCTCTGGCCGTTGCTGGTGAAAGGGCCAAACCTCGAATGTCTTCAAGGAGCTGCTGCCAGTGTCTCCTCCATCACGGGATCCGTACCATGCATGGAATCCGGCACGACGCTTGATACCTCTGGCTCCGCCACCTTTTCTTCCTCCTCCACGACCTCAGCATGCTCCACCTGGTCGTCCACAGCTGCCTCGCCCGCCTCATTGCTCTCTTACTCCTTGATTTCGTCGTGTGCAGGCAAGACGTCTGTGGGTGTTGCTGCTGGTGACTGGCTTCTTTTTTACGTTCGAAAATATTTTTTCCTCCTGAGTTTGTCATTCACTGTCACTGATACCATACCTGGAAGTTCACGTAGATCATGGACGTGTTTTCTCCCACGCCGGCACGCATAATAAGTTAACAAAGCCATGGTAAAACAAGGTACCGCGGCTTTTCTTGTTCTTATATGTTCTTTAAGGGGCTCCAATGCAGCCGCAAAACCTCCTCCTCTCTGGAAGAGTCCCTGTATCGCTTACGCTCCATTTGCCACGGCCTTTGTGAGCAGGGGCTTGTGCTTTGCTCCGGGAATGTCCCCTAGGAGACGAGTTGGACTGGGGTCGAGGGTCGGCTCCGCTTTCGGCCCTCACGCACTTGCTCGCCTTTCCCAATCACTCGCCTGACACGTCCATCCGGTTCAGGTTGCCGTGTAGAGAAGTAGGATTCTTATTAGAGAATAAGAATGGGTCTCTTGGTAGGTGGCCATATGAGCGTGCACCACCAACAAGATGACAAAGGATTTATTGCATTCAGAGACTTTTCTTACTTGAAGGCCTCGATGACAGCTGCAAACTTGACTGCGGGGAGAGGTTTGAAGTTGACGTTTGAGAAGCCTTGCGACGTGAGCAGATCTTTCCACTCGCTTGTACTCTTCTGCTTCCCTCCAGTGAAAACTAGCATCCTCAGATCTTGATCGATGGCTGCCTTCTGGTGCGGATGGTCCGTGATTATGATTTTCCCACCGACTGACAGTGTATTGTAGCAGTTTTTGAGTACAACTTTGACACACTCAAGCCAGTGCCCCCCCAACATCTACAAGAACTTGAGCAACGCTTCGGAAACCATCGTAGCCTTCCAGCACCCCGTTGATGATGTGAGTAGAGAATGGTACACATCTGGATTGGCTTGTCCGACTTTGCAGTTTGATGACTTCAAATGCATTCCACAATAGCAAAGCCAATGCTATGGCCATTATGAAGTTCGTAAACAATCACACTACAACTGTTTGCCTCCAGCATAGTCCTCAATGATGTTCAGATCCAACTTGTGAGTCCCACCATTACTGCTCCCAAGACCATTTGGTTCATATTGTTCGGAAGCTGCCACTTCCTCCCAAGAATCGTCATCTAGAGTAGATGACAACACCTTCACGTGATGAACAGCAACAGCTCCCAAAACCTGCTCCTTACCATCTGCCCATGTCATTGTTGTCACAGCAACAACACTGAAGTCCCCAGATGGATTTTCATCCTTCACTTTCATGTCTAAGCCACCGCCACCACCGCCTCCTCCAGAAGGGTCAACTGTCGGATCAGGAACGCCGCTGGCCGTTGCTGGTGAAAAGGCAACATCTTTTTCGGCAGCCACCAGCTCAAAAGCCTGAATACCAGATTCATGCTTCGGGACGTCCCAAGCCTCCTGAACAGCCTCCCATGCAGCCTGTGGGACATTCTGGACAGGCAGCTCGAGCTCAACTTGCTGTGGCTCTTCGACATTGCCTTCCTCCTCTACCACTTGCTCGGGAATGTCTTCACTGGCAAGAGATGCTCGCTGTGTGTCTTCCACTGTGCGATCTGTCTCATGCATGGAATCCGGTGCAGCACTCTCGATCTCTGGCACCGCCAACTTTTCTCCCTCGTCCAGGATCGCGACTGAAGCACTCTCCCTGGGCTCGACATTCTCCACATGGTCATCCACAGCGACCTTGGCCGGCTCTATGCTCTCTTCCTCCTTGATTTCCTTGTGTGCGGGTAAGACGTCATCCACTGTGCGGATTGGTACTTGAGCTACGACTGCCTCGGCCGGTTCCACCTCCTTGGCAGCCTCTTCAGCAGCCTCAGGCACGGCCTCAAGCTCGGAAACGGCCTCAAGCACAGGCTGTGCATCCTGGACAGCTTCGTTCCCTGACTGCAGGAGTTCTTCTACTGGGACGGAAAGCTTGACCTCACGTTTGGAAACTTCATCTGGCACCTCGACTTTTGTTTGCTCCTCTTCCACGTTCTCATTAATGTCTTCACTGGCAGGAGATGCTCGCTGTGTGTCCTCCACGGTGGCATCTGTCGCATGCACGGAATCCGGTGCACAACTCTCAATCTCTGGCACTGCCAACTTTTCTCCCTCGTCCGGGATTGCGACTGAAGCACTCTCCCTGCGCTCGACATTCTCCACTTGGTCATCCACAGCCACCTTGGCCGGCTCTATGCTCCCTTCCTCCTTGATTTCCTCGTGTCCGGGTAAGACGTCATCGACTGTGGCAGTTGGTACTTGAGCTACGACTGGCTCGGCCGGTTCCACCTCCTTGGGAGCCTCTTCAGAAGCCTCAGGCACGGCCTCTAGCTCGAGAACGGCCTCTAGCGCATGCTCTGGCTCCTGGACTTCTTTGTTGCCCAACTGCGGGAGTCCTTCTACTGGAATGGGAATCTCAAGCTCGCGTTCGGATACTGGATGTGGCACGTCAACGTTGGTTTGCTCCTCTTCCACGTTCTCGTCAATGTCTTCACTGGCAGAAGATGCTCGCTGTGTGTCCTCCAGGGTGGCATCTGTCGCATGCATGGAATCCGGTGCAGCACTCTCGATCTCTGGCACCGCCAACTTTTCTCCCTCCTGCAGGATCGCGACTGAAGCACTCTCCCTGGGCTCGACATTCTCCACGTGGTCATCCACAGCCACCTTGGCCGGCTCTATGCTCTCTTCCTCCTTGATTTCCTCGTGTGTGGGTAAGATGTCATCCACTTTCGCGGTTGGTACTTGAGCTACAAGTGGCTCGGCTGGTTGCACCTCTTTGGCAGCCTCTTCAGAAGCCTCAGGCACGGCCTCTGTCTCGGGAACGGCCTCAAGCACAGGCTGTGGCTGCTGGACTTCTTCGTTCACCAACTGTGGGAGTCCTTCTACTGGGACGGCAATCTCAAGCTCTCGTTCGGAAACTTGATGTGGCACCGCGACGTTCGCTTGCTCCTCTTCCACGTTCTCGTGAACGTCTTCACTGGCAGAAGATGCTCGCTGTGTGTCCTCCAGGGTGGCATCTGTTGCATGCATGGAATCCGGTGCAGCACTGTCAATCTCTGGCACCGCCAACTTTTCTCCCTCGTCCAGGATCGCGACTGAAGCACTCTCCCTGGACTCGACATTCTCCACGTGGTCATCCAGAGCCACCTTGGCCGGCTCTATGCTCTCTTTCTCCTTGATTTCCTCGTGTGCGGGTAAGACGTCATCCACTGTGGCGGTTGGTACTTGAGCTACGAGTGGCTCGGCCGACTCCACCTCGTTGGCAGCCTCTTCAGAAGCCTGAACGGCCTCAAGCGCATGTTCTGGCTCCTGGACGTCTTCGTTCCCCGACTGCGGGAGTCCTTCTACTGGGATGGCAATCTCAACCTCGCGTTCGGATACTTGATGTGGCACGTAACCGTTGGTTTTCTCCTCTTCCACGTTCTGGTGAATGTCTTCACTGGCAGAAGATGCTCGCTGTGTGTCCTCCACGGTGGCATCTGTCGCATGCATGGAATCCGGTGACCCACTCTCGATCTCTGGCACCGCCAACTCTTCTCCCTCCTGCAGGATCGCGACTGAAGCACACTCCCGGGGCTCGACATTCTCCACCTTGTCATCCAGAGCCACCTTGGCCGGCTCTATGCTCTCTTCCTCCTTGATTTCCTCATGTGCGGGTAAGATGTCATCCACTGTGGCGGTTGGTACTTGAGCTACGACTGGCTCGGCCGGTTCCACCTCCTTGACAGCCTCTTCAGAAGCCTCAGGCACGGCCTCAAGCACAGGCTGTGGCTCCTGGACTTCTTCGTTCCCCGACTGTGGGAGTTCTTCTACGGGGACAGCAAGATCGAATTTCCCTTCGGAAACTTCATGTGGCACTTCGACATTGCTTTGCTCCTCTTCCCCGTTCTCGTGAATTTCTTCAGTGGCAGAAGATGCTCGCTGTGTGTCCTCCACTGTGGCATCTGTCGCATGCATGGAATCCGGTGCACCACTCTCGATCTCTGGCACCGCCAACTCTTCTCCCTCCTGCAGGATCGCGACTGAAGCACACTCCCGGGGCTCGACATTCTCCACCTTGTCATCCAGAGCCACCTTGGCCGGCTCTATGCTCTCTTCCTCCTTGATTTCCTCGTGTGCAGGTAAGATGTCATCCACTGTGGCGGTTGGTACTTGAGCTACGACTGGCTCGGCCGGTTCCACCTCCTTGACAGCCTCTTCAGAAGCCTCAGGCACGGCCTCAAGCTCGGAAACGGCCTCAAGCACAGGCTGTGGCTCCTGGACTTCTTCGTTCCCTGACTGTGGGAGTTCTTCTACTGGGACGGCAAGCTTGACCTTGCGTTCGGAAACTAAATGTGGCACCTCGACGTTGGTTTGTTCGTCTTCCACGTTCTCGTCAATGTCTTCACTGGCAGAAGATGCTCGCTGTGTGTCCTCCAGGGTGGCATCTGTTGCATGCATGGAATCCGGTGCAGCACTGTCAATCTCTGGCACCGCCAACTTTTCTCCCTCGTCCAGGATCGCGACTGAAGCACTCTCCCTGGACTCGACATTCTCCACGTGGTCATCCAGAGCCACCTTGGCCGGCTCTATGCTCTCTTTCTCCTTGATTTCCTCGTGTGCGGGTAAGACGTCATCCACTGTGGCGGTTGGTACTTGAGCTACGAGTGGCTCGGCCGACTCCACCTCGTTGGCAGCCTCTTCAGAAGCCTGAACGGCCTCAAGCACAGGCTGTGCATCCTGGACAGCTTCGTTCCCTGACTGCAGGAGTTCTTCTACTGGGATGGCAAGCTCGACCCCGCGTTCGGAAACTTCATGTGGCACCTACACTTTTGTTTGCTCCTCTTCCACGTTCTCATTAATGTCTTCACTGGCAGAAGATGCTCGCTGTGTGTCCTCCACGGTGGCATCTGTCGCATGCATGGAATCCGGTGCACAACTCTCAATCTCTGGCACCGCCAACTTTTCTCCCTCGTCCAGGATCGCGACTGAAGCACTCTCCCTGGGCTCGACATTCTCCACGTGGTCATCCAGAGCCACCTTGGCCGGCTCTATGCTCTCTTCCTCCTTGATTTCCTCGTGTGCGCGTAAGATGTCATCCACTGTGGCGGTTGGTACTTGAGCTACGACTGGCTCGGCCGCTTCCACATCCTTGTGAGCCTCTTCAGAAGCCTCAGGCACGGCCTCTGGCTCGGAAACGGCCTCAGGCACAGGCTGTGGCTCCTGGACTTCTTCGTTCCCTGACTGTGGGAGTCCTTCTACTGGGACGGGAATCTCAACCTTGCGTTCAGATACTTGATGTGGCACGTCAACGTTGGTTTGCTCCTCTTCCACATTCTCGTGAATGTCTTCACTGGCAGAAGATGCTCGCTGTGAGTCCTCCACAGTGGCATCTGTCGCATGCATGGAATCCGGTGCACCACTCTCGATCTCTGGCACCGCCAACTTTTCTCCCTCGTCCAGGATCGCGACTGAAGCACTCTCCCTGGGCTCGACATTCTCCTCCTGGTCATCCAGAGCCACCTTGGCCGGCTCTATGCTCCCTTCCTCCTTGATTTCCTCGTGTGTGGGTAAGATGTCATCCACTGTGGCGGTTGGTACTTCATCTACGACTGGCTCGGCCGGTTCCACCTCCTTGGAAGCCTCTTCAGCAGCCTCAGGCACGGCCTCATGCTCGGGAACGGCCTCAGGCACAGGCTGTGGCTCATGGACTTCTTCGTTCCCTGACTGTGGGAGATGTTCCACTGGGACGGCAAGCTCGACCTCGCGTTCGGAAACTTCATGTGGCACCTCGACTTTTGTTTGCTCCTCTTCCACGTTCTCGTGAATGTCCTCAATGGCAGAAGATGCTCGCTGTGAGTCCTCCATTGTACCATGTGTCGCATGCATGGAATCCGGTGCACCACTCTCGATCTCTGGCACTGCCAACTTTTCTCCCTCGTCCAGGATCGCGACTGAAGCACTCTCCCTGGGCTCGACATTCTCCACGTGGTCATCCAGAGCCACCTTGGCCGGCTCTATGCTCCCTTCCTCCTTGATTTCCTCGTGTGTGGGTAAGATGTCATCCACTGTGGCGGTTGGTACTTGAGCTACGACTGGCTTGGCCGCTTCCACCTCCTTGGCAGCCTCTTCAGCAGCCTCAGGCACGGCCTCTGGCTCGGGAACGGCCTCAGGCACAGGTTGTGGCTCCTGGACGGCTTCGTTCACCAACTGTGGGAGTCCTTCTACTGGGACGGCAATCTCAAGCTCTCGTTCGGAAACTTGATGTGGCACCGCAACGTTCGCTTGCTCCTCTTCCACGTTCTCGTGAACGTCTTCACTGGCAGAAGATGCTCGCTGTGTGTCCTCCACTGTGGCATCTGTCGCATGCATGGAATCCGGTGCACCACTCTCGATCTCTGGCACCGCCAACTTTTCTCCCTCGTCCAGGATCGCGACTGAAGCACTCTCCTTGGGCTCGACATTCTCCACCTGGTCATCCAGAGCCACCTTGGCCGGCTCTATGCTCTCTTCCTCCTTGATTTCCTCGTGTGCAGGTAAGACGTCATCCACTGTGGCAGTTGGTACTTGAGCTACGACTGCCTCGGCCGGTTCCACCTCCTTGGCAGCCTCTTCAGAATCCTCAGGCACGGCCTCAAGCACAGGCTGTGGCTCCTGGACGGCTTCGTTCCCTGACTGCAGGAGTTCTTCTACTGGGACGGAAAGCTTGACCTCACGTTTGGAAACTTCATCTGGCACCTCGACTTTGGTTTGCTCCTCTTCCACGTTTTCGTGAATGCCCTCACTGGCAGGAGATGCTCGCTGTGACTCCTCCACTGTGCCATCTGTCGCATGCACGGAATCCGGTGCACCACTCTCCATCTCTGGCACTGCCAACTTTTCTCCCTCGTCCGGGATTGCGACTGAAGCACTCTCCCTGCGCTCGACATTCTCCACTTGGTCATCCACAGCCACCTTGGCCGGCTCTATGCTCCCTTCCTCCTTGATTTCCTCGTGTCCGGGTAAGACGTCATCGACTGTGGCAGTTGGTACTTGAGCTACGACTGGCTCGGCCGGTTCCACCTCCTTGGGAGCCTCTTCAGAAGCCTCAGGCACGGCCTCTAGCTCGAGAACGGCCTCTAGCGCATGCTCTGGCTCCTGGACTTCTTTGTTGCCCAACTGCGGGAGTCCTTCTACTGGAATGGGAATCTCAAGCTCGCGTTCGGATACTGGATGTGGCACGTCAACGTTGGTTTGCTCCTCTTCCACGTTCTCGTCAATGTCTTCACTGGCAGAAGATGCTCGCTGTGTGTCCTCCAGGGTGGCATCTGTCGCATGCATGGAATCCGGTGCAGCACTCTCGATCTCTGGCACCGCCAACTTTTCTCCCTCATCCAGGATCGCGACTGAAGCACTCTCCCTGGGCTCGACATTCTCCACCTGGTCATCCAGAGCCACCTTGGCCGGCTCTATGCTCTCTTCCTCCTTGATTTCCTCGTGTCCAGGTAAGACATCATCGACTGTGGCAGTTGGTACTTGAGCTACGACTGGCTCGGCCGGTTCCACCTCCTTGGGAGCCTCTTCAGAAGCCTCAGGCACGGCCCCTAGCTCGAGAACGGCCTCTAGCGCATGCTCTGGCTCCTGGACTTCTATGTTCCCCAACTGCGGGAGTCCTTCTACTGGAATGGGAATCTCAAGCTCGCGTTCGGATACTGGATGTGGCACGTCAACGTTGGTTTGCTCCTCTTCCACGTTCTCGTCAATGTCTTCACTGGCAGAAGATGCTCGCTGTGTGTCCTCCAGGGTGGCATCTGTCGCATGCATGGAATCCGGTGCAGCACTCTCAATCTCTGGCACCGCCAACTTTTCTCCCTCCTGCAGGATCGCGACTGAAGCACTCTCCCTGGGCTCGACATTCTCCACGTGGTCATCCACAGCCACCTTGGCCGGCTCTATGCTCTCTTCCTCCTTGATTTCCTCGTGTGTGGGTAAGATGTCATCCACTTTCGCGGTTGGTACTTGAGCTACAAGTGGCTCGGCTGGTTGCACCTCTTTGGCAGCCTCTTCAGAAGCCTCAGGCACGGCCTCTGTCTCGGGAACGGCCTCAAGCACAGGCTGTGGCTGCTGGACTTCTTCGTTCACCAACTGTGGGAGTCCTTCTACTGGGACGGCAATCTCAAGCTCTCGTTCGGAAACTTGATGTGGCACCGCGACGTTCGCTTGCTCCTCTTCCACGTTCTCGTGAACGTCTTCACTGGCAGAAGATGCTCGCTGTGTGTCCTCCAGGGTGGCATCTGTTGCATGCATGGAATCCGGTGCAGCACTGTCAATCTCTGGCACCGCCAACTTTTCTCCCTCGTCCAGGATCGCGACTGAAGCACTCTCCCTGGACTCGACATTCTCCACGTGGTCATCCAGAGCCACCTTGGCCGGCTCTATGCTCTCTTTCTCCTTGATTTCCTCGTGTGCGGGTAAGATGTCATCCACTGTGGCGGTTGGTTCTTGAGCTACGAGTGGCTCGGCCGACTCCACCTCGTTGGCAGCCTCTTCAGAAGCCTCAGGCACGGCCTCTGGCTCGGGAACGGTCCCAAGCGCATGCTGTGGCTCCTGGACTTCTTCGTTCCCTGACTGCAGGAGTACTTCTACTGGGACGGGAATCTCAACCTCGCGTTCGGAAACTTCATGTGGCACTGCGACGTTGGTTTGCTCCTCTTCCACATTCTCGTGAATGTCTTCACTGGCAGAAGATGCTCGCTGTGTGTCCTCCAAGGTGGCATCTGTCGCATGCATGGAATCCGGTGCAGCACTCTCAATCTCTGGCACCGCCAACTTTTCTCCCTCGTCCAGGATCGCGACTGAAGCACTCTCCCTGGGCTTGACATTCTCCACGTGGTCATCCACAGCCACCTTGGCCGGCTCTATGCTCTCTTCCTCATTGATTTCCTCGTGTGTGGGTAAGACGTCATCCACTGTGGCAGTTGGTACTTGAGCTACGACTGGCTCCGCCGGTTCCACCTCCATGGCAGCCTCTTCGGCAGCTTCAGGCACGGCCTCATGCTCGGGAACGGCCTCAGGCACAGGCTGTGGCTCCTGGACGGCTTCGTTCACGAGCTGCGGGCTTCCCTCTACTGGTATGGCAATCTCAACCTCGCGTTGGGAAACTTCATGTTGCACTGCGACGTTGGTTTGCTCCTCTTCCACATTCTCGTGAATGTCTTCACTGGCAGAAGATGCTCGCTGTGTGTCCTCCAGGGTGGCATCTGTTGCATGCATGGAATCCGGTGCAGCACTGTCAATCTCTGGCACCGCCAACTTTTCTCCCTCGTCCAGGATCGCGACTGAAGCACTCTCCCTGGGCTTGACATTCTCCACGTGGACATCCACAGCCACCTTGGCCGGCTCTATGCTCTCTTCCTCATTGATTTCCTCGTGTGTGGGTAAGATGTCATCCACTGTGGCAGTTGGTACTTGAGCTACGACTGGCTCCGCCGGTTCCACCTCCATGGCAGCCTCTTTGGCAGCTTCAGGCACGGCCTCATGCTCGGGAACGGCCTCAGGCACAGGCTGTGGCTCCTGCACGGCTTCGTTCACCAACTGCGGGAGTCCCTCTACTGGTATGGCAATCTCAACCTCGCGTTCGGAAACTTCATGTGGCACTGCGACGTTGGTTTGCTCCTCTTCCACATTCTCGTGAATGTCTTCACTGGCAGAAGATGCTCGCTGTGTGTCCTCCAGGGTGGCATCTGTTGCATGCATGGAATCCGGTGCAGCACTCTCAATCTCTGGCACCGCCAACTTTTCTCCCTCGTCCAGGATCGCGACTGAAGCACTCTCCCTGGGCTTGACATTCTCCACGTGGTCATCCACAGCCACCTTGGCCGGCTCTATGCTCTCTTCCTCATTGATTTCCTCGTGTGTGGGTAAGACGTCATCCACTGTGGCAGTTGGTTCTTGAGCTACGACTGGCTCCGCCGGTTCAACCTCCATGGCAGCCTCTTCGGCAGCTTCAGGCTCCGCCTCATGCTCGGGAACGGCCTCAGGCACAGGCTGTGGCTCCTGCACGGCTTCGTTCACCAACTGCGGGAGTCCCTCTACTAGTATGGCAATCTCAACCTCGCGTTCGGAAACTTCATGTTCCACTGCGACGTTGGTTTGCTCCTCTTCCACATTCTCGTGAATGTCTTCACTGGCAGAAGATGCTCGCTGTGTGTCCTCCAGGGTGGCATCTGTTGCATGCATGGAATCCGGTGCAGCACTCTCGATCTCTGGGACCGCCAACTTTTCTCCCTCGTCCAGGATCGCGACTGAAGCACTCTCCCTGGGCTTGACATTATCCACGTGGTCATCCACAGCCACCTTGGCCGGCTCTATGCTCTCTTCCTCCTTGATTTCCTCGTGTGCGGGTAAGATGTCATCCACTGTGGCAGTTGGTACTTGAGCTACGACTGGCTCCGCCGGTTCCACCTCCATGGCAGCCTCTTCGGCAGCTTCAGGCACGTCCTCATGCTCGGGAACGGCCTCAGGCACAGGCTGTGGCTCCTGGACGGCTTCGTTCACGAGCTGCGGGCGTCCCTCTACTGGTATGGCAATCTCAACCTCGCGTTGGGAAACTTCATGTAGCACTGCGACGTTGGTTTGCTCCTCTTCCACATTCTCGTGAATGTCTTCACTGGCAGAAGATGCTCGCTGTGTGTCCACCAGGGTGGCATCTGTTGCATGCATGGAATCCGGTGCAGCACTGTCAATCTCTGGCACCGCCAACTTTTCTCCCTCGTCCAGGATCGCGACTGAAGCACTCTCCCGGGGCTCGACCTTCTGTACCTTGTCATCCAGAGCCACCTTGGCCGGCTCTATGCTCTCTTCCTCCTTGATTTCTTCGTGTGTGGGTAAGATGTCATCCACTGTGGCGGTTGGTACTTGAGCTACGACTGGCTCGGCTGGTTGCACCTCTTTGGCAGCCTCTTCAGAAGCCTCAGGCACGGCCTCTGTCTCGAAAACGGCCTCAAGCACATTCTGTGGCTCCTGGACTTCTTTGTTCCCCGACTGTGGGAGTTTTTCTACTGGGACAGCAAGCACGACCTCGCGTTCGGAAACTTCATGCTGCACCTCGACTTTGCTTTGCTCCTCCTCCACGTTCTCGTGAATGTCGTCACTGGCAGGAGGTGCTCGCTGTGTGTCGTCCACTGTGGCATCTGTTGCATGCATGGAATCCGGTGCACCACTCTCCATCTCTGGCACTGCCAACTTTTCTCCCTCTTGCAGGATCGCGACTGAAGCACTCTCCCTGGGCTCGACATTCTCCACGTGGTCTTCCACAGCCACCTTGGCCGGCTCTATGCTCTCTTCCTCCTTGATTTCCTCGTGTGCGGGTAAGACGTCATCCACTGTCGCGGTTGGTACTTGAGCTACAACTGGCTCGGCCGGTTGCACCTCCTTGGCCGCCTCTTCAGCAGCGTCAGGCACGGCCTCTGTCTCGGGAACGGCCTCAAGCACATGCTGTGGCTCCTGGACTTCTTTGTTCCCCGACTGTGGGAGTTCTTCTACTGGGACAGCGAGCTCGACCTCGCGTTCGGAAACTTCATGCTGCACCTCGACTTTGCTTTGCTCCTCTTCCACGTTCTCGTGAATGTCCTCACTGGCAGGAGGTGCTCGCTGTGTGTCGTCCACTGTGGCATCGGTTGCATGCATGGAATCCGGTGCACCACTCTCCATCTCTGGCACTGCCGACTTTTCTCCCTCCTGCAGGATCGCGACTGAAGCACTCTCCCTGGGCTCGACATTCTCCACGTGGTCATCCACAGCCACCTTGGCCGGCTCTATGCTCTCTTCCTCCTTGATTTCCTCGTGTGTGGGTAAGATGTCATCCACTGTGGCAGTTGGTACTTGAGCTACGACTGGCTCCGCCGGTTCCACCTCCATGGCAGCCTCTTCGGCAGCTTCAGGCACGTCCTCATGCTCGGGAACGGCCTCAGGCACAGGCTGTGGCTCCTGGACGGCTTCGTTCACGAGCTGCGGGCGTCCCTCTACTGGTATGGCAATCTCAACCTCGCGTTGGGAAACTTCATGTAGCACTGCGACGTTGGTTTGCTCCTCTTCCACATTCTCGTGAATGTCTTCACTGGCAGAAGATGCTCGCTGTGTGTCCTCCACGGTGGCATCTGTCGCATGCATGGAATCCGGTGCAGCACTGTCAATCTCTGGCACCGCCAACTTTTCTCCCTCCTGCAGGATCGCGACTGAAGCACTCTCCCGGGGCTCGACATTCTCCACCTTGTCATCCAGAGCCACCTTGGCCGGCTCTATGCTCTCTTCCTCCTTGATTTCCTCATGTGCGGGTAAGATGTCATCCACTGTGGCGGTTGGTACTTGAGCTACGACTGGCTCGGCCGGTTCCACCTCCTTGACAGCCTCTTCAGAAGCCTCAGGCACGGCCTCAAGCACAGGCTGTGGCTCCTGGACTTCTTCGTTCCCCGACTGTGGGAGTTCTTCTACTGGGACAGCAAGATCGAATTTCCCTTCGGAAACTTCATGTGGCACTTCGACATTGCTTTGCTCCTCTTCCCCGTTCTCGTGAATTTCTTCAGTGGCAGAAGATGCTCGCTGTGTGTCCTCCACTGTGGCATCTGTCGCATGCATGGAATCCGGTGCACCACTCTCGATCTCTGGCACCGCCAACTCTTCTCCCTCCTGCAGGATCGCGACTGAAGCACACTCCCGGGGCTCGACATTCTCCACCTTGTCATCCAGAGCCACCTTGGCCGGCTCTATGCTCTCTTCCTCCTTGATTTCCTCGTGTGCAGGTAAGATGTCATCCACTGTGGCGGTTGGTACTTGAGCTACGACTGGCTCGGCCGGTTCCACCTCCTTGACAGCCTCTTCAGAAGCCTCAGGCACGGCCTCAAGCTCGGAAACGGCCTCAAGCACAGGCTGTGGCTCCTGGACTTCTTCGTTCCCTGACTGTGGGAGTTCTTCTACTGGGACGGCAAGCTTGACCTTGCGTTCGGAAACTAAATGTGGCACCTCGACGTTGGTTTGTTCGTCTTCCACGTTCTCGTCAATGTCTTCACTGGCAGAAGATGCTCGCTGTGTGTCCTCCAGGGTGGCATCTGTTGCATGCATGGAATCCGGTGCAGCACTGTCAATCTCTGGCACCGCCAACTTTTCTCCCTCGTCCAGGATCCCGACTGAAGCACTCTCCCTGGACTCGACATTCTCCACGTGGTCATCCAGAGCCACCTTGGCCGGCTCTATGCTCTCTTTCTCCTTGATTTCCTCGTGTGCGGGTAAGACGTCATCCACTGTGGCGGTTGGTACTTGAGCTACGAGTGGCTCGGCCGACTCCACCTCGTTGGCAGCCTCTTCAGAAGCCTCAGGCACGGCCTCCGGCTCGGGAACGGCCTCAAGCGCATGCTCTGGCTCCTGGACGTCTTCGTTCCCCGACTGCGGGAGTCCTTCTACTGGGATCGGAATCTCAACCTCGCGTTCGGATACTTGATGTGGCACGTAACCGTTGGTTTTCTCCTCTTCCACGTTCTGGTGAATGTCTTCACTGGCAGAAGATGCTCGCTGTGTGTCCTCCACGGTGGCATCTGTCGCATGCATGGAATCCGGTGCAGCACTGTCAATCTCTGGCACCGCCAACTTTTCTCCCTCGTCAAGGATCGCGACTAAAGCACACTCCCGGGGCTCGACATTCTCCACCTTGTCATCCAGAGCCACCTTGGCCGGCTCTATGCTCTCTTCCTCCTTGATTTCCTCATGTGCGGGTAAGATGTCATCCACTGTGGCGGTTGGTACTTGAGCTACGACTGGCTCGGCCGGTTCCACCTCCTTGACAGCCTCTTCAGAAGCCTCAGGCACGGCCTCAAGCACAAGCTGTGGCTCCTGGACTTCTTCGTTCCCCGACTGTGGGAGTTCTTCTACTGGGACAGCAAGATCGAATTTGCCTTCGGAAACTTCATGTGGCACTTCGACATTGCTTTGCTCCTCTTCCCCGTTCTCGTGAATTTCTTCAGTGGCAGAAGATGCTCGCTGTGTGTCCTCCACTGTGGCATCTGTCGCATGCATGGAATCCGCTGCACCACTCTCGATCTCTGGCACCGCGAACTTTTCTCCCTCGTCCAGGATCGCGACTGAAGCATTCTCCCTGGGCTCGACATTCTCCACGTGGTCATCCAGAGCCACCTTGGCCGGCTCTATGCTCTCTTTCTCCTTGATTTCCTCGTGTGCGGGTAAGATGTCATCCACTGTGGCGGTTGGTTCTTGAGCTACGACTGGCTCGGCCGACTCCACCTCGTTGGCAGCCTCTTCAGAAGCCTCAGGCACGGCCTCTGGCTCGGGAACGGTCCCAAGCGCATGCTGTGGCTCCTGGACTTCTTCGTTCCCTGACTGCAGGAGTACTTCTACTGGGACGGGAATCTCAACCTCGCGTTCGGAAACTTCATGTGGCACTGCGACGTTGGTTTTCTCCTCTTCCACATTCTGGTGAATGTCTTCACTGGCAGAAGATGCTCGCTGTGTGTCCTCCAAGGTGGCATCTGTCGCATGCATGGAATCCGGTGCAGCACTCTCAGTCTCTGGCACCGCCAACTTTTCTCCCTCGTCCAGGATCGCGACTGAAGCACTCTCCCTGGGCTTGACATTCTCCACGTGGTCATCCACAGCCACCTTGGCCGGCTCTATGCTCTCTTCCTCCTTGATTTCCTCGTGTGCGGGTAAGATGTCATCCACTGTGGCAGTTGGTACTTGAGCTACGACTGGCTCCGCCGGTTCCACCTCCATGGCAGCCTCTTTGGCAGCTTCAGGCACGGCCTCATGCTCGGGAACGGCCTCAGGCACAGGCTGTGGCTCCTGCACGGCTTCGTTCACCAACTGCGGGAGTCCCTCTACTGGTATGGCAATCTCAACCTCGCGTTCGGAAACTTCATGTGGCACTGCGACGTTGGTTTGCTCCTCTTCCACATTCTCGTGAATGTCTTCACTGGCAGAAGATGCTCGCTGTGTGTCCTCCAGGGTGGCATCTGTTGCATGCATGGAATCCGGTGCAGCACTCTCAGTCTCTGGCACCGCCAACTTTTCTCCCTCGTCCAGGATCGCGACTGAAGCACTCTCCCTGGGCTTGACATTCTCCACGTGGTCATCCACAGCCACCTTGGCCGGCTCTATGCTCTCTTCCTCATTGATTTCCTCGTGTGTGGGTAAGACGTCATCCACTGTGGCAGTTGGTTCTTGAGCTACGACTGGCTCCGCCGGTTCAACCTCCATGGCAGCCTCTTCGGCAGCTTCAGGCACGGCCTCATGCTCGGGAATGGCCTCAGGCACAGGCTGTGGCTCCTGCACGGCTTCGTTCACCAACTGCGGGAGTCCCTCTACTGCTATGGCAATCTCAACCTCGCGTTCGGAAACTTCATGTTGCACTGCGACGTTGGTTTGCTCCTCTTCCACATTCTCGTGAATGTCTTCACTGGCAGAAGATGCTCGCTGTGTGTCCTTCAGGGTGGCATCTGTTGCATGCATGGAATCCGGTGCAGCACTCTCAATCTCTGGCACAGCCAACTTTTCTCCCTCGTCCAGGATCGCGACTGAAGCACTCTCCCGGGGCTCGACATTCTCTACCTTGTCATCCAGAGCCACCTTGGCCGGCTCTATGCTCTCTTCCTCATTGATTTCCTCGTGTGTGGGTAAGACGTCATCCACTGTGGCAGTTGGTACTTGAGCTACGACTGGCTCCGCCGGTTCCACCTCCATGGCAGCCTCTTCGGCAGCTTCAGGCACGGCCTCATGCTCGGGAACGGCCTCAGGCACAGGCTGTGGCTCCTGGACGGCTTCGTTCACGAGCTGCGGGCTTCCCTCTACTGGTATGGCAATCTCAACCTCGCGTTGGGAAACTTCATGTTGCACTGCGACGTTGGTTTGCTCCTCTTCCACATTCTCGTGAATGTCTTCACTGGCAGAAGATGCTCGCTGTGTGTCCTTCAGGGTGGCATCTGTTGCATGCATGGAATCCGGTGCAGCACTCTCAATCTCTGGCACAGCCAACTTTTCTCCCTCGTCCAGGATCGCGACTGAAGCACTCTCCCTGGGCTCGACATTCTCCACCTGGTCATCCACAGCCACCTTGGCCGGCTCTATGCTCTCTTCCTCCTTGATTTCCTCGTGTGCGGGTAAGACGTCATCCACTTTCGCGGTTGGTACTTGAGCTACAACTGGCTCGGCTGGTTGCACCTCTTTGGCATCCTCTTCAGAAGCCTCAGGCACGGCCTCTGTCTCGGGAACGGCCTCAAGCACAGGCTGTGGCTCCTGGACTTCTTCGTTCCCTGACGGTGGGAGTTCTTCTACTGGGACAGCAAGCTCAACCTCGCGTTCCGAAACTTCATGCTGCACCTCGACTTTGGTTTGCTCCTCTTCCACGTTGTCGTGAATGTCCTCACTGGCAGGAGATGCTCGCTGTGTGTCGTCCACTGTGGCATCTGTCGCATGCATGGAATCCAGTGCAGCACTCTCGATCTCTGGCACTGCCAACTTTTCTCCCTCCTGCAGGATCGCGACTAAAGCACTCTCCCTGGGCTCGACATTCTCCACCTGGTCATCCACAGCCACCTTGGCCGGCTCTATGCTCTCTTCCTCCTTGATTTCCTCGTGTGCGGGTAAGACGTCATCCACTTTCGCGGTTGGTACTTGAGCTACAACTGGCTCGGCTGGTTGCACCTCTTTGGCATCCTCTTCAGAAGCCTCAGGCACGGCCTCTGTCTCGGGAACGGCCTCAAGCACAGGCTGTGGCTGCTGGACTTCTTCGTTCCCTGACGGTGGGAGTTCTTCTACTGGGACAGCAAGCTCGACCTCGCGTTCGGAAACTTCATGCTGCACCTCGACTTTGCTTTGCTCCTCTTCCACGTTGTCGTGAATGTCCTCACTGGCAGGAGGTGCTCGCTGTGTGTCGTCCACTGTGGCATCTGTCACATGGATGGAATCTGGAGCACCACTCTCGATCTCTGGCACCGCCAACTTTTCTCCCTCCTGCAGGATCGCGACTGAAGCACTCTCCCTGGGCTCGACATTCTCCACCTGGTCATCCACAGCCACCTTGGCCGGCTCTATGCTCTCTTCCTCCTTGATTTCCTCGTGTGCGGGTAAGACGTCATCCACTTTCGCAGTTGGTACTTGAGCTACAACTGGCTCGGCTGGTTGCACCTCTTTGGCATCCTCTTCAGAAGCCTCAGGCACGGCCTCTGTCTCGGGAACGGCCTCAAGCACAGGCTGTGGCTCCTGGACTTCTTCGTTCCCTGACGGTGGGAGTTCTTCTACTGGGACAGCAAGCTCGACCTCGCGTTCGGAAACTTCATGCTGCACCTCGACTTTGCTTTGCTCCTCTTCCACGTTCTCGTGAATGTCCTCACTGGCAGGAGGTGCTCGCTGTGTGTCGTCCACTGTGGCATCTGTCGCATGCATGGAATCCGGTGCACCACTCTCGATCTCTGGCACTGCCAACTTTTCTCCCTCCTGCAGGATCGCGACTGAAGCACTCTCCCTGGGCTCGACATTCTCCACCTGGTCATCCACAGCCACCTTGGCCGGCTCTATGCTCTCTTCCTCCTTGATTTCCTCGTGTGCGGGTAAGACGTCATCCACTTTCGCGGTTGGTACTTGAGCTACAACTGGCTCGGCTGGTTGCACCTCTTTGGCAGCCTCTTCAGCAGCCTCAGGCACGGCCTCAAGCTCGGGAACGGCCTCAAGCACAGGCTGTGGGTCCTGGACTTCTTCGTTCCCCGACTGTGGGAGTTCTTCTACTGGGACAGCAAGCTCGACCTCGCGTTCGGAAACTTCATGCTGCACCTCGACTTTGCTTTGCTCCTCTTCCACGTTGTCGTGAATGTCCTCACTGGCAGGAGGTGCTCGCTGTGTGTCGTCCACTGTGGCATCTGTCGCATGCATGGAATCCGGTGCACCACTCTCGATCTCTGGCACTGCCAACTTTTCTCCCTCCTGCAGGATCGCGACTGAAGCACTCTCCCTGGGCTCGACATTCTCCACCTGGTCATCCACAGCCACCTTGGCCGGCTCTATGCTCTCTTCCTCCTTGATTTCCTCGTGTGTGGGTAAAACGTCATCCACTTTCGCGGTTGGTACTTGAGCTACGACTGGCTCGGCCGGTTCCACCTCCTTGACAGCCTCTTCAGCAGCCTCAGGCACGGCCTCTGTCTCGGGAACGGCCTCAAGCACAGGCTGTGGCTGCTGGACTTCTTCGTTCCCTGACTGTGGGAGTTCTTCTACTGGGACGGCAAGCTCGACCTTGCGTTCGGAAACTTCATGCTGCACCTCGACTTTGGTTTGCTCCTCTTCCACGTTGTCGTGAATGTCCTCACTGGCAGGAGATGCTCGCTGTGTGTCGTCCACTGTGGCATCTGTCACATGGATGGAATCTGGAGCAGCACTCTCGATCTCTGGCACCGCCAACTTTTCTCCCTCCTGCAGGATCGCGACTGAAGCACTCTCCCTGGGCTTGAAATTCTCCACCTGGTCATCCACAGCCACCTTGGCCTGCTCTATGCTCTCTTCCTCCTTGATTTCCTCGTGTGCGGGTAAGACGTCATCCACTTTCGCGGTTGGTACTTGAGCTACAACTGGCTCGGCTGGTTGCACCTCTTTGGCATCCTCTTCAGAAGCCTCAGGCACGGCCTCTGTCTCGGGAACGGCCTCAAGCACAGGCTGTGGCTCCTGGACTTCTTCGTTCCCCGACTGTGGGAGTTCTTCTACTGGGACAGCAAGCTCGACCTCGCGTTCGGAAACTTCATGCTGCACCTCGACTTTGCTTTGCTCCTCTTCCACGTTGTCGTGAATGTCCTCACTGGCAGGAGGTGCTCGCTGTGTGTCGTCCACTGTGGCATCTGTCGCATGCATGGAATCCGGTGCACCACTCTCGATCTCTGGCACTGCCAACTTTTCTCCCTCCTGCAGGATCGCGACTGAAGCACTCTCCCTGGGCTCGACATTCTCCACCTGGTCATCCACAGCCACCTTGGCCGGCTCTATGCTCTCTTCCTCCTTGATTTCCTCGTGTGCGGGTAAGACGTCATCCACTTTCGCAGTTGGTACTTGAGCTACAACTGGCTCGGCTGGTTGCACCTCTTTGGCAGCCTCTTCAGAAGCCTCAGGCACGGCCTCTGTCTCGGGAACGGCCTCAAGCACAGGCTGTGGCTGCTGGACTTCTTCGTTCCCTGACTGTGGGAGTTCTTCTACTGGGACGGCAAGCTCGACCTTGCGTTCGGAAACTTCATGCTGCACCTCGACTTTGGTTTGCTCCTCTTCCACGTTGTCGTGAATGTCCTCACTGGCAGGAGATGCTCGCTGTGTGTCGTCCACTGTGGCATCTGTCACATGGATGGAATCTGGAGCAGCACTCTCGATCTCTGGCACCGCCAACTTTTCTCCCTCCTGCAGGATCGCGACTGAAGCACTCTCCCTGGGCTTGAAATTCTCCACCTGGTCATCCACAGCCACCTTGGCCTGCTCTATGCTCTCTTCCTCCTTGATTTCCTCGTGTGCGGGTAAGACGTCATCCACTTTCGCGGTTGGTACTTGAGCTACAACTGGCTCGGCTGGTTGCACCTCTTTGGCATCCTCTTCAGAAGCCTCAGGCACGGCCTCTGTCTCGGGAACGGCCTCAAGCACAGGCTGTGGCTCCTGGACTTCTTCGTTCCCCGACTGTGGGAGTTCTTCTACTGGGACAGCAAGCTCGACCTCGCGTTCGGAAACTTCATGCTGCACCTCGACTTTGCTTTGCTCCTCTTCCACGTTGTCGTGAATGTCCTCACTGGCAGGAGGTGCTCGCTGTGTGTCGTCCACTGTGGCATCTGTCGCATGCATGGAATCCAGTGCACCACTCTCGATCTCTGGCACCGCCAACTTTTCTCCCTCCTGCAGGATCGCGACTGAAGCACTCTCCCTGGGCTCGACATTCTCCACCTGGTCATCCACAGCCACCTTGGCCGGCTCTATGCTCTCTTCCTCCTTGATTTCCTCGTGTGCGGGTAAGACGTCATCCACTTTCGCAGTTGGTACTTGAGCTACAATTGGCTCGGCTGGTTGCACCTCTTTGGCATCCTCTTCAGAAGCCTCAGGCACGGCCTCTGTCTCGGGAACGGCCTCAAGCACAGGCTGTGGCTCCTGGACTTCTTCGTTCCCTGACGGTGGGAGTTCTTCTACTGGGACAGCAAGCTCGACCTCGCATTCGGAAACTTCATGCTGCACCTCGACTTTGCTTTGCTCCTCTTCCACGTTCTCGTGAATGTCCTCACTGGCAGGAGGTGCTCGCTGTGTGTCGTCCACTGTGGCATCTGTCGCATGCATGGAATCCGGTGCACCACTCTCGATCTCTGGCACTGCCAACTTTTCTCCCTCCTGCAGGATCGCGACTGAAGCACTCTCCCTGGGCTCGACATTCTCCACCTGGTCATCCACAGCCACCTTGGCCGGCTCTATGCTCTCTTCCTCCTTGATTTCCTCGTGTGCGGGTAAGACGTCATCCACTTTCGCGGTTGGTACTTGAGCTACAACTGGCTCGGCTGGTTGCACCTCTTTGGCAGCCTCTTCAGAAGCCTCAGGCACGGCCTCTGTCTCGGGAACGGCCTCAAGCACAGGCTGTGGCTGCTGGACTTCTTCGTTCCCTGACTGTGGGAGTTCTTCTACTGGGACGGCAAGCTCGACCTTGCGTTCGGAAACTTCATGCTGCACCTCGACTTTGCTTTGCTCCTCTTCCACGTTGTCGTGAATGTCCTCACTGGCAGGAGATGCTCGCTGTGTGTCGTCCACTGTGGCATCTGTCACATGGATGGAATCTGGAGCACCACTCTCGATCTCTGGCACCGCCAACTTTTCTCCCTCCTGCAGGATCGCTACTGAAGCACTCTCCCTGGGCTCGACATTCTCCACGTGGTCATCCACAGCCACCTTGGCCGGCTCTATGCTCTCTTCCTCCTTGATTTCCTCGTGTGTGGGTAAAACGTCATCCACTGTGGTAGTTGGTACTTGAGCTACGACTGGCTCGGCCGGTTCCCCCTCCTTGACAGCCTCTTCAGCAGCCTCAGGCACGGCCTCAAGCTCGGGAACGGCCTCAAGCACAGGCTGTGGGTCCTGGACTTCTTCGTTCCCCGACTGTGGGAGTTCTTCTACTGGGACAGCAAGCTCGACCTCGCGTTCGGAAACTTCATGCTGCACCTCGACTTTGCTTTGCTCCTCTTCCACGTTGTCGTGAATGTCCTCACTGGCAGGAGGTGCTCGCTGTGTGTCGTCCACTGTGGCATCTGTCGCATGCATGGAATCCGGTGCACCACTCTCGATCTCTGGCACTGCCAACTTTTCTCCCTCCTGCAGGATCGCGACTGAAGCACTCTCCCTGGGCTCGACATTCTCCACCTGGTCATCCACAGCCACCTTGGCCGGCTCTATGCTCTCTTCCTCCTTGATTTCCTCGTGTGTGGGTAAAACGTCATCCACTGTGGTAGTTGGTACTTGAGCTACGACTGGCTCGGCCGGTTCCACCTCCTTGACAGCCTCTTCAGCAGCCTCAGGCACGGCCTCAAGCTCGGGAACGGCCTCAAGCACAGGCTGTGGGTCCTGGACTTCTTCATTCCCCGACTCTGGGAGTTCTTTTACCGGGACAGCAAGCTCGACCTCGCGTTCGGAAACTTCATGTGGCACCTGGACTTTTGTTTGCTCCTCTTCCACGTTCTCGTGAATGTCCTCACTGGCAGGAGGTGCTCGCTGTGTGTCGTCCACTGTGGCATCTGTCGCATGCATGGAATCCAGTGCACCACTCTCGATCTCTGGCACCGCCAACTTTTCTCCCTCCTGCAGGATCGCGACTGAAGCACTCTCCCTGGGCTCGACATTCTCCACCTGGTCATCCACAGCCACCTTGGCCGGCTCTATGCTCTCTTCCTCCTTGATTTCCTCGTGTGCGGGTAAGACGTCATGCACTTTCGCGGTTGGTACTTGAGCTACAACTGGCTCGGCTGGTTGCACCTCTTTGGCATCCTCTTCAGAAGCCTCAGGCACGGCCTCTGTCTCGGGAACGGCGTCAAGCACAGGCTGTGGCTCCTGGACTTCTTCGTTCCCTGACGGTGGGAGTTCTTCTACTGGGACAGCAAGCTCAACCTCGCGTTCGGAAACTTCATGCATCACCTCGACTTTGGTTTGCTCCTCTTCCACGTTGTCGTGAATGTCCTCACTGGCAGGAGATGCTCGCTGTGTGTCATCCACTGTGGTATCTGTCACATGGATGGAATCTGGAGCAGCACTCTCGATCTCTGGCACCGCCAACTTTTCTCCCTCCTGCAGGATCGCGACTGAAGCACTCTCCCTGGGCTTGAAATTCTCCACCTGGTCATCCACAGCCACCTTGGCCGGCTCTATGCTCTCTTCCTCCTTGATTTCTTCGTGTGTGGGTAAGACGTCATCCACTGTGGCAGTTGGTACTTGAGCTACGACTGGCTCGGCCGGTTCCACCTCCTTGGCAGCCTCTTCAGCAGCCTCAGGCACGGCCTCTGGCTTTGGAACAGCCTCTGGCTCCTGGACGGCTTTGTTCGTTGTGTGTGGGAGTTCTTCTACTGGGACGGGCAGCTTCACCTTGCGTTTGGAATGTTGTTGTGGCTTCTCGACTTTGATTTCCTCGTATTCCACTTGCCTGTTAATGTGTTCACTGGCAGGAGCTGCTGCGTGTGTGTCCTCCAGAACGGGATCTGCCGCATGCATGGAATCCAGCAGAGCACTCTCGATCCCTGGCTCCTCCACGATCGCGTCTGGAGCACTCTCCCCGGCCTCACCATTCTCCACCTGGTCGTGCAGAGCAGCTGGCTCTATGCTCTCTTCCTCCTTGATTTCGTGCTGTGTGGGCAAGACGTCATTCACCGCGGACGTTGCTGCTGGAGCTGCGACTGGCTCAGCCAGTTCCACCTTCTTAGCAGCCTCGTCAGGTTTCTCAGGCACGGCCTCAGGCTCAGGCTCATCGCCTTTCTTTTGGAAAGCCTCGTCCGCAGCCTGCTGGACATCTTCTTTGATCTCACGTTTGGAAACTTGTTGTGCCTCCTTGACTTTGATTTCCTCCTCTGGCACTTGCTCGTGAATGTCTTCTCTTGATGGGGCTGCTAGCAGTGTCTCCAGCGCGGGTTCCGTTGCATGCATGTATTCTGGCACAGGACTCTCAATATCTGGCTCTGCCAACTTTTCTCCCTCCTTTACGATCGCATCTGGAACACTCTCCTTGTCGTCAGCATTCTCCTCCTTGTCTTCCACAGCCACGTCGGCCGTCTCAATTCTCTCTTCCACCTTGATTTCGTTGTGTGCGGGAAATACATTGTTGACTGCAGGGATTGCTGCTGGAGCTGCAGGTGGCTCGGCCAGTTCCACCTCCTTTGCAGCCTCAGGAACTGCCTTAGGCACAGCCTGTGGCTCCTTAACAGCCTTGCCTGTGGGCTGTGGGACTTTTTCTACTGGGACGAGCAGGTGGTGCTCACGTTCAGAAACTTGCTTTGGCTCCTCGATATTGATTACCTCCTCTGCTACTTGCTTGGGAATGTCTAGACTGGCAGCTGCTGCCAGTGTGTCCTCTACCATGGGATCCATCGCCTGCGTGGAATCCGGCACGGCTTTCTCAATCTGTGGCTCCGCCACCTTTTCTTCCTCCTCCACGATCAGCTCTGGAGCACTCTCCTGGGTGTCAGAATGCTCCACCTGGTCGTCCACAGCCACCTTGGCCTTCTCAGGTTTGTCTTTTGCGGGCAAGACCTCGTTGGCCACGGGCATTGCTGCTAGAGCTGTTATTGGCTCGGCTTGTTCCACCTCCTTGGCATCCTTTGCATCCTCTGGCACAGCTTGTGTCTGCTCCTTGACGTGCTGCTGTGCGTGCTGCGAGACTACTGGGACAGGCAGCTCGAGCTCACGTTCAGAAACCAGTAGCTCCCTGACTTTCTTTTCCTGTGCCACTAGCTGAGAAAAATCGTCACTGGCAGGAGCTGCTGTCTCCTTCACCACAGAATCTGTCGCGTGTGTGCAATCCAGCGGGGACCTCTTAATTTCCTGGTCTGCCACCTTTTCTCCCTCCTTCACAATCGCCTTGGGATCACTCTCCTCGGCCTCAGCATGCTCTACAGCCAACTTGGCTGCGTCATGGCTCTCTTTTTCCTTGTTTTCCGGGGTTGGAGGCATTGCTGCTGGAGGCTCGGGTATTGCCTCCCTTGCAGCCTTCTTTTTAACCACAGGCATGGCTTCTGAAGGCGTGGCTTGTTGTAACTCGACGGCCTTCGATGTTTCTTGTACGACTTTGGGAACGGGCAGGCCCGAAACCGTTTCGTCTCTTTCTTTTCTGTTGTCCTTTCCTTGGTTGGGACGCGCACTTCTCTTTATTTGGGGCGGTGTCACGTTTTCATGTTCCTCTGTTGTGGTACATATGACGTGTTCGACTAGTCCTGCTAAGTATTCCAAAGGTACAGGGGCTTTTGGATCCTTCAGGGAAACGTCACTTGCAGTCTGCTCCTCATTTCTTTGCACAGCCTCAGGATATATGTCCAATAGCACTTGCATTTCTGCTGGAGTCGCGACTTGTACGTTCTGTGCAGCTGCAATTGTCTGAGCACCGTAAAAATTGTCTGGTAGCTTGAGCTCATGCTCAGAAACGGCTGGCTTCTCTACGTTGTCTTCCAATTTCATTGTGAATTTGCCAGCGGGCTGTTCCTCCACGCACGAATCATCATTTTCCCGCTTCACTATCGCATATGGAGCTATCGCCCGGTGCTGCGGTTTGTCCCTAGGCACATCAAGATTTGATTTGGATGTGGCATCTGCCACTGTATCTGATATTGGCGCTTCCTGTGGCTTCTGATCGGGAACAGGTGCCTTTTCCTCCTTAGGCAGAGCGGCAATTGCTTGTGGTTTCTCTTGTATCTCTCCTAAAGTTGTTACCGATGTGCCAATGCCGATCTGATCTATCTTAGCTTCCTGCTTTGGCGTATCATCTTTTCGTTTGTTCTGAGCTCCTTGTGGAGTTTTCTTGTCAAAATCCCTTGTAACATCCTTGATTGTAGCATTATCTGGTACTTCTTTCGCAATGTTTACTGGCTCCTCCTGTCCCGAATTTCTCTTCGTTCCAGCGCCAACTTGAGCAGCTTCACGCTTTTGAGCATGCTGTTTTTCCTCGCCAACTTTTGATGAATCAGACGGTCCACTGAAGCTCGACATGGAGTTATCACTTCCCGGCACATGCACTTCCGGTGTAGCTTTGACTATTTTTGCTGTTGCTGCTTTAGATTGTGATGAACGTTTCTCCATCGCTGGGATCTCCCTGGCCTTCTGTTCTTTTATAATCTCCGGGGGGGCTGCCTGTTTTCCTACTCGGTTCTCTGATGATACATCAGATCCCGCTTGAGGCCTGATCGCGCCACCTGGTTTTCCTAGACTATCCACTGCTTTCCTATCCGGCCCAGCTTTTGTGGTCTCTGTATTTGCTGTTCTTGATGCCTGGTTCATCAAAGTTATATAAGCAGATCTCGAAAAAGATGTCACTCACCTTTTGTTTGTCGTCCGGAGTTTCAGTGGCTTTGGAGACAAGTTCCCAGTCCTCGAGAACAAAGCCACGACGAGAAACGCCGGCAGCTTTCTCTTCTTTGCGGTTTTGCATCGCAGGCTCTGTAACTCTTACTGGCGTCGGGGAAGCCTTGGCCTTAGGCGGAGACTTGGCTTTCGGTGAGGCCTTCTCTTGCACCGGAGGAGGCGGCTTGTTACCTTTGCTACTAATGGGCTTACCTTTGGTGTCCGGGGCAGGCTTCATGGTCTCAACACTTTTGGTTTTTGATTCAGGAGCTAGCTTGGTTGTAGAAGCAGGCTTGGCATATTTCGAGTCGGATTTGTAAGGATCGGGCTTAGCACTTGGTGTTTGAGTCGAAACTAACTCGGGCTTCACGACGGTTTCTGGAGTTTTCGATGGTGTTCTGGTGGTTGTGTGAGAAAACTTTGTCTCGCTAGCTCTACTAGACGTCTCAAGGCTTTGGCTTCTACCGAAACTACCAGCGCTACTATTACTACTGCTAAGGACCTCGAGGTTAGACGACTTACCTGGACACGAAGAACTCGAGCTCAACTTACTTGCGGATGGTGGCGCTTGGGCCACCACGTATGCGTAGGAATGGATCTTTTTCACTTCCTGGGGAGACGACGCTGGGGACGACGAGGATGGCTGCTTGTAAGAGGAGCCCATCTTTGGAGTTGGGTGCTCCTCGGGTGGGACGTTGCCTTGGGCGTCGAGCGTGGGGAAGTCGGGGAGTTCTTCTTGTGCATCGTGGAATCTGTCCGACACCGAGCCGGGGCCTCCTCGTTGGATATTTGAGCCTACAGCCGGGGCGGGAGGGGCAGGGATGGAGATTGGTGGCACCACCACCCCAACATTCTTGGGAGAATTGTTGTCCTGGAAGTATGTTTTATGAATCAACCAAATTGTCTTTTAAGGCTTGATCGTACCTGGACCCTGGTGCTACCACTCGAGCTTGGAATGGACTGGAGATACACAAGGAATGAGAGAAAGGAGAAGTTTTCCGAATGATCCATACCTGAGGCTTTGTGTTGGATTTGTTGTTGTTGTTGTTGTTGTTGTTGTTGTCATTCGAGCTCGAAGCCCCCGAAGATTTCTGGACGGCATTGATCTTGGAGACCATTGCTTTTCCAACACGTTCTTTGCTAGAACACTTCCCCATGATGTTAAGAACAAAGCAAAATATACAACACAGCAAAATTGGGATTGGGACGAGCGAGTTTATGCACACTAGAATACTAGACTTGGATCGATTCGATCGAAATCGATCTCAGACTCACTATCAATCTCACGAAGGCGAAATGTTTTCTTTTTTCGATTTTCTTGGAAGCTTTATCCCTCTCGACGCGACTATGCACAAAATCGAAACGCAAAACCCCGGGGTCTGTCAAACAATCCCAGGAGGGAAAAGAAAGATATATGCAAAAAGCAAAACTGGCGCGAGCGATGCCTCGAGGCAGCGCAATCGCGGATCAAAGAATTTCCAGCGGTGGATCAAGATAGACCTGGCTCCTAAAAAATGCAGAGCACAGACGATACACTCCACCACACAGACGGACCAAAACCAACAGGAAGAATGCACATAAACTCCCTTCGACCACTTCACAACCTTGACCAACGATCCAAAGCGAGAGCTACCGGATCTCTCTCGCCACCGAAGAACCTAATCGATTTCTTCCTCGCCTTTCCTCTCTCGCGAGCGCGCTCAATGGATCAATCAAAAAAACCGAGAGAAACCTCCAGCTCCTCAAGCAAGGCGCATATATATATCGTATCCAGTACAACGAATATTCCGTCACTGTATAGCGCATAATACTCATTTTCAGAAAAAAGAAAGGCCACTAGAATTCGTGTTGGAATTGCCACGAGGGCCCCATGTGAAGGCCTTAGCCGTTCGCACCCAAAAAGTCTGCTAACCTAATCCATCCCATCTCTACGAAAACCTCTAAAACCATGTGGAATCTTTGCATTTCCAGCCCATGGAATCGCAATATCACTTTAGAAACCATGAAATTATATTCTAGTATGAAATCGCGCCCTTTTGATTAAAAAGAAAAGGTTGATGGGCACAACTATATGCCCCAACTGGAAAGCGCCTGGGACGAAAGGAAACAGTCGACCCGTCACACGTCAGCAATGCTGACAGGGAGGACCGTGTTGGTGGGCCCGCCGGCACCGCCCATGGGTCCACGGGACCAATCCCCAAGCACATATTTTTTCGATATCTCTTCATACTATTGTCACACAGTCGGTGACAAGCAACAAAAAATAAAGGAGAGAATGGAAAGGGGGGAATCTTTGCTTTTGTACCAACTTGGGGATGGAAAGAATGGATTGAGAGATTTTGCGAGACTGAAAAGAATTGTGATTTGGGAAGAATGGAAGGCAAGGGAATAATAATCGCTAGGTTGTCATGAGCATTGCATTGCATGGCAGCACTCATTTTCACTCTATCAACATCCTACTTTTTTATTTGTATTGGCAGCCTTTCTGGCAATTTGCAAAGAGCCAGGGAGTTCCATCCAAACACACACTGAAGTTTCCCACGTTCCACGGACAGATAGAATCAAGAGCATAAGTGCGTTTAGGCTAGAATATGTGGAACGATGTGTATATCTTCGCGGGATTTGTCACATTGGAATGAATTATTAAAGACCGGATGATGCTTCAAGGGTTTTCATTGAATCGATTGATTTGCGCTTGCAGCCCCCACAACACTGTTTGTGCGCATGCTTGCGTGTTTTGTTTAGATTGCTGTCTTCCAGTCCAATGCAAATCCCTGCCTTTCCTGACCGATGCAAGCTCAGCAATTCATACACAAGAATTCTGAAAACGGAATATATATATATAAAAGAAACGACATGTGATGGCAGTTACAAACAGTTGGAGATTGACAGTTTATCAAGAATGGTAAGATTTAGTTTCATTTTGTTACAACTTTTTTAATGCTTGTTACTTTCAGCTGGAAATCTCCTCACTTTTTAACCACCCCTCAACCAACACAGCTGCATCTAGGAGTGCAAAGATTTATAACCCCCACTCTATCATAGTCCAACCGGATTTTATGTGCGAATATTCGGATCTTATTTTATGATAACCATGGTTTACGCTATCTCGAAAAGGTAATCTTGGTTATATATAAAGACGAAGTAAAGATTGTTAGGGTACCATTCAATAATGAAGAGGATCTTGTGCCTGCCAGAAGAGGTTCTAGAAGCCATCTTTCTAAGGCTTCCTATTTCAGGCGTTATCAGGGTGAGGAGCGTATGCAAACATTGGAGGAAGCTCGTAAACTTACCAAGTTTCACGGAGCTCTTTTCTGACAGTGGCGTGATTTCATGGGATGCGATCATCATGGACTCTAGCACCGCGGTTATGCATTGGGGAGGACATGAAATGTACTCCGCCACCTTTCGAGATAACCTAGTGATTGCCGCACACAACAAGCGATACTACATTGGAAATCCTTTTCTTGGTAGCTGGGAAACAATCCCCGAGGTCCAGGACGAGATGGTGCAGTTTGATAGCGTTTGTATCAAAGGTGATGACGGATGCTACAAACTTGTGGCATGGGGGTTTCATAACCGGGTCTGGACATTCTCCCGTGGGCAATCTTGCTGGGTGGAGGAAAAGGATTTGCCTCGGAGCTTGGCATCAACCCCAGTGGTTTTCGACGACAAAGTGGTCTCGATCAACATCGATAAAGAGAGCTTGACAATCTATGATACCACAACTTGTGAGTTCTTGTTTAGGGATTTATCTGTGATTGGGATGCGAGGGCAAGCCCATCTTCTAGTCTGGGAGAAGAAACTTTTTGTGGTGGCAACCGAGGATGAGGATCTCGAAGGAAAGATCAAAATTTGGGATATTACAAGAGACGAAATACGTTTGGAGGCTGAAAAGGTCATCGCTGACGAGATATGTGTCTCATACATTCGGCAGCATTTCGATTTCAGGTCGAAGAAAAGCTACCTGTGCTTTCGTGCTTTTACCCCGGCCGAGTGTGAGGAAGATGGAGACACGAGCTCGCAAGAATTTTGTTACAATCTGGACGAGAAGGTGTGGGAGGATTGCAAAACACCCAAGGCTTTGTATGATCCCATAAATGTGAAACTTTGTGATCCCATAAATGTGAAGCATAGGAGATCAAATATGAAAGGGAAATATATTTTGTAGATCATTCACCAAGAAAAGAATAGTAAGTCTAGCCAGTGTTTTGCATGCCAGCCGCGATTCCCTTCATGGTGAGGATGAGCGAGTCGTGAATTCCAGCCGCCACCTCCGCCGTGGCTCTCGACGCCACCACCTCCGCCACCGGCAGCTCCACAAAGATCCTCGAGCTCTGCTGCCTCAGCTTCTTGAGCGTGAAAGCCTGCTGTACGTTGAGCGGAGTTATGAATGGCTCGCGAAGGCTCAGCCGCTGCTTTAATATCGGATTCCCGGCCAAAAGCTCGCTGTGTCCCGCCACCTGCAAGCTCCTTTCCAGCCATCGCATCCAAATCCAAAAGCTCGAAAATGGATTCACGTACCTTGAGCAGCAGCTCCTTTGTCTCTTCGTACTTTTGCCTCAAGTGGTCTCCAAATGGCAGCAGCTCTTTGGGAACCAAAAGCTCGTCGTACAGCGCCGCGACACGGGGATCTCCCTTTGCAAACACCATCTCGATGAGGTCCACGGTTGCACGGAAGAAGGGCCACATCTTGTACATCTCCTGGAGCGCTTGCAAGTTCGTTGCATCGCGCTGGATCACTGCTTTGAAAGCCGCTCCAACTCCGAGCCACACTGGAAGGTGAAACCTGGTCTGCGTCCAGGCGAAGATCCATGGGATTGCCCGGAGGGACTCGACGCCTCCGCTGGGATTTCTCTTGGAAGGTCGGCTTCCTATGTTCATCCGTCCATACTCCAGCACTGGAGTTGCCTGCAAAACAGCTCCTTGCATTGTAATCAAGCTGCAGAAAAAGCTTCTTTCTTACCGCTGTGAAATAGTCCATGAATTGTTTGTCCTTGAAAACAGTGGCTCGATACTCCGCCGTTGCAACCACGGCCATCTCGTCCATCAACGAGCGCCAGTGTTGCTCGGGTGTTCTCGGCGGACACATTCCATGTTCAAGCGTCGCCGCAGTAAGCCGTTGGAGCGTCCGGAAGCAAAAGCTGACTTCTCCAAACGACTGCTGGATGACTTCCCCTTGGATTGTCACGCGGAACGACCCATTGATTGTGTCCGAAGGCTGCGAAAGAACTGCCAGATGAGTCGGGCCGCCGCCTCTGCCGACACTGCCCCCACGTCCGTGAAACATGACAAGCTTCACACCGTGCTTCTTCGAAACCTCGACAAGCTTTTCCTGCGTCTGGAACAGTTGCCAAGCAGCACATAATCTCCCCGCGTCCTTTCCAGAGTCGGAGTAGCCGATCATCACCTCCTGCTTCCCATTGATGTGACTACGATACCAGTCGATCGAAAAGAGGCAATCCATGGCTGCTGGAGCTGCTTCTAAATCCGCGAGCTTCTCAAAGAGCGGCACCACCCGCAGTGGCTTGCTCACCCGGCACTCTCGTTGCAGAAGCTCGACTGTGAGAACATCGGACGGAGCTGTAGCCATGGAGATAACGTAGGCTCCAAAGCAGTCAGCTGGCAACTCGGATATAACGTAGAATGTGCCTAGCACGTCCTGGACCTCTTCAGTCATCGGAAGATCAGCACCAAAGAGTGGTCTCTTGCTGCGGAGCTCCGTGAGTAGCCATTCTTGCCTCTTCGTTTCTGGCCAGCTTCTGTAGCTACCCAGGCCGAGGTAATTCGTGATGGCGTCCATAACATCTGTATGCCTCTCGGACTCCTGGCGAATGTCTAATCTCACGAGTCCCAGCCCAAAGCTCGCAACTTGACGCATGAAGTCCAGCAGGCTTCCATCAGCGATTGGCTTGTCACCTGTAGAGCAGAGAGAGCGATAACAGACCTCCAGAGGCTGCAGTATCTGTGCTGCTTCAAGCAAAGAATCGTCCAGTATCACAATCAGTACGTCGACATACGTAGGTGATCCAGTATATACCTGTTCGGTCGAGGTGAAAGTTTCATCTGGGCCAATGTCGGACTTCCCGTTTCCAAGGAGCTGCCGTGTTCGTCCTCGCGTCTGATAAAGGCGGTCACGGAAATCGCCGAGCAGTACTCGATATGGTTCCGTGGGTGGAATTTGCTTCCAAAACTCTGCCAGCAGATACATAGCAATGATAGTCGGATTCCTCAAAGATAAGCACGTTGACACTGCAAACCTATATAGTGTTTCACATCGATTTTCTCTCCAGCAAGCAACTGAGAGGCTCTAGTGCGCACCTCGTCATTGCAACGACACATTGATAGCTACAGAGAAGCAAAAAAAAACTCTTCTTAGAAAGTTTTATGCATGACGACTTTGCAGAGTTCCTACCTCAAACATCAGATCCTCGATCTGTGAAAAGTATAGATTTGCTGCCATAAGCCTCGCCAGCAGACATACGTCTCGCGTAACCTCGGGTGTTACACGAGGATTTCCTTAAGAAAAAGTAAGGCTCAGCAATCGTTAAAGCAGCAAAAGCATACCATCTCTGTCGCCTCCCATCCATGAGGAGAACTGTATGAGAGGAACGTTGTACGGAAGGCGTTCCTTGAGACCGATGTTTCTTAGCGCAGTATCCACCCGACGAAGAAACTTGGGAAGGCCGTTCCAGATTGTCTCGTGAAAGTAGCTCATCCCGGCACGCATCTCGTCCTGCGGGGTTGGGGGCGCACGTCTTATTTCATCAGTTCGAAAAGCAGCTTGAATCTGCGAGAATGGAGCCAGCATTGGTTTATCTACAAACGAGACAAAAAAACACTTACCTCTCGCTGGAGAGCCTCGTCTATTTCTTGCCTATCGTCGGGAGATAAGTCGTCCTTGTGCAGCTGGGACAAACAGTTACGAATGCTGCAAGCTAGACACAAACAAGTCAGTGCTCACGTCTAACGATCTTTTCTTACCGAGCAAGAGGAGAAGTTCGTCAAGTTTGTGATCTTTTCTTACCGAGCATGTTTTTGGAGGAGCGAGCGTCGAATGGATTGAGTTGGATGAGCAGTCAGTACTAAATCCACAGTCTGGCGCTTCAAAGCCTGGAAGATCTCGTCCGGAGTTTTCCCCACGTCGCTCATCAGCCGCCGAAAAGTCTCCTCCAAGTTCGACTCCGTCGCGGCACTGTTCTCATCGCCAATGTCGCCGGATCTCCTCACAGCGCTCGCCTTGCGGCAAGAGAACTGGACCTCCTCCGCGAGGTTTCCCAGGTTGAGCATGTGAGAGAAGGAACTCGCGACAATGCTGGAATCCCCGGGGCCAAGGCCGTCGAGCACAGTTGCGAGCTCACCCAATTTCTTGGTGTTGCCACTGTTCTGGTACTCCACCGAGAGCTGGTAGCAGCGCTCGACCTTGAAACAAAGATCTATCGATCAAACAGGGCAAAATAAACGTCGATCGATCACTTACAGCTTCTTTGATCCCCTGGCCGTGGAGATCCTCGAGCATCCGGAGGAAGTGATCGAGAAGAACGCTGTCAAACTCGATCAAGCGCTTGTCCTCCGGGGCAGTGACGGGGACGAGCATCCGCATTACAGTGCTCCTCCTCTCCCTCTCCGCCATTCTTGCTTCCCTGCCCTAGAACACCTAAACGAATTTCCATTGACAAAGAAGCATAATTCCATAGATTCGCAATTAGCGTAAACTTCCCCGTCCAATGGAGGTATAGCTCACTGGTAGAGCAATTGGCTGCAGTCCAATGGGTCACTAGTTCAATCCTGGTTGCCTCCTTTTCTAGAAATTAAATTTTAAAAACCTTAATAAATTTAAAATAATTTAGTCTTTAGTATTTTATAGTTATTCTTGCATGGTGCTGGATGCCAAAAAGCCAAAATCTAAGCGTGCCCAGTTTCAATAATGTGCTGGAGCCTCACATTGGCTAGCCATTTTAACAACAAGCTTTTGCGAATGTCGATCAAGTTTTGGGGGGCCACCCAAGGAGCTCCAATCCAACCAATTGTCGGTGGCCTTGACAAGAATCTCCCCAGGCCAACGTAAGGCAATGAATGCCCAGTATGGCATTTGCAGTTCCTGAGATGTGTAGAAAGATGTGATCTTTCGTAGAAGATTGGAAGCTGATTGGCCCCAGAGCACTGTTTTGGGCTTCACAGCCGCGTAGGCTCCACGGCAGAGTGTAGAAGAATCCGGTGCGCACACTTTGGAGCAGCGCAGCGAGCACTCACTGCCACCAAATCGATCCGGCACCGCCGCAGAGCACTCAAAGTTTATGTAAGAGTGAGAGAGATCACTGCTAGCAGTGGAATCAAATATTATACTATAGATATTTCAAGTAAAAGTATATGAAAACCAGAAATCAAGGCTGATTCAGGAGGTTTGATTGCCAGGAGCTATAATTTGGGCCATATAATCACGACGGTGTCAAAAGACCCACAGTGCAAGGCATAAGGTCTTCCGGGACAAAAAAGGAGAGAAGGGTTTGTTTGTTGATCCAAAGTTCATGGTGATCATCCCTTTTGGCGCTTGGTTTTCCTCTCTTTCTCTCAACCATTGAGGGCAATTATAGAATTTCGGATTTTGAGAATGACAATGATCAAAATTCGCTCCAAAGAGAACCAAAGCGGGCATCACACTCATGGCTAAATGCCCCCCCTCCCCCCACCCCCAAACACTTAAGCTAAATGCCCACCTTTATAGAAAAGAAAGCACCCCAATGCGGCCTAGGGATACCCTTTGGCGACGACGATCTAGCAAGAGAAGCTCTCCTAACTTCTATAACTCCCGATTTCCTCATTCATCCATGTGGATTCTCCTTGCGAATACTTTATAAGACAACAAGAAATAATGGCAATGCTAACTACATAGACACAATACTTCACATATGATTCTCTGGAATCTACATTCTTTCGCGCAATTGCTTTACAAAAAGTAGGGCAACACGCCGCGACAGTATTGGCCTACCATTTTAAAAGATTCGGTGGCGCGCCGGGGCCGACGGTGCAGATGGCACCTCCCCGGCATCGCACGGCCCGCATGTGTTTTCGGCGGGGCGTACGGCGGGGTGGCGGCGGTGTCGCATTCCGTGCCCTAAATGCCAATAAGTAAATGTGCATTGAAAAATTTAAAGGCTTGTATATAAGCTATACAATGGCAACCACACACACAAGGGCTTCTTTGTCAGGATTTTCGATGTTTTCTCGGCGTGTCCTTTGGTCCTCTCTTACATTGTCTCGCCTCCTTTTCTTTACTCCAATCGAGCGTGAATCGTCCCAATCGATCGAGTGATTGATTGATTGATCGAGCAAAAAAAAAAAAAAGAGAGAGAAGGTAGAGCTTTCTCTTTTTTTTCGTTCGTGAGGCCGATGGAGGATCCAGCAAAGGCGTGGCAAAAGGTCGCTGGGGATGAGGAGAAAGGAGGAGGGCAAGAGAAGCTCTCCAAGGTCGGCCATGGCGGCGAGGAAGAACACTTAGACGAGGCCACGCTCAAGATGATTGTGGAGGAGCACTTGCATGAGTGCCCATCCCTCGCCCAGGCAAGATTTCTCCCACATTTCTCTCGCATTTCTTCTCGATCGCCCATCGCCCATCTCTCTCCCTCTCCACGATCGAAGCCCAAGACTGATCGCTCGATTCTTTTGGTTCCTCCATGGCCAGATTCTCGAGGAGCTGCGCGAATTGGGTCGAATTGCGGTGCCCATCACCGCCATGAACTGCGTCGTCTACCTCCGAGCCATGGTCTCGGTGCTCTGCCTGGGCCGACTGGGCGGCCGCGAGCTCGCCGGCGGCGCGCTCTCCATCGGCTTCACCAACATCACGGGCTACTCGGTTCTCTTCGGCCTGGCATCCGGCATGGACCCGATTTGCGCCCAAGCTTTCGGATCCAAGAACTGGAAGCTCATCGGCCTCTCACTCCGGCGGACGATCCTCGTCCTCCTCACCGCCTGCGTCCCAATCTCCCTCCTCTGGATCAATCTCCACCGAATTCTCCTCTTCCTCGCCCAGGATCCAAGCATCACCGCGGTCGCGAGCACCTACTGCCTCTTCTCCCTGCCCGATCTCCTCGCCAACAGCATCCTCCAGCCGCTGCGCGTCTACCTTCGATCGCAGGGCATCACCACGCCGATGATGTGGTGCTCCGCCGTGGCGGTGGCGCTCCACGTCCCGCTCAGCCTCGCGCTCGCGTTTGGGCTCCGGCTGGGCGTCCCGGGCGTCGCCATGGCCGCCGTCTTCACGAACTTCTTCATGATCGCGCTCCTCCTGCTCTACCTCCGGATCTCGGGCGTCTACCGCCGGACTTGGGGCGATGGCTGGTCGATGGACTGCCTCCGCGAGTGGCGCCCGCTGCTGGCGCTCGCGCTGCCCAGCTGCTTCGCGATCTGCCTCGAGTGGTGGTGGTATGAGATCATGACGCTGCTCGCGGGCTACCTCCCGAATCCCGAGGTCGCGGTGGCCACCACCGCGATCTTGATCCAGACCACCTCGCTGATGTACACGATCCCGCTCGCGCTGAGCGCCAGCGTCTCCACCAGGGTCGGGAACGAGCTGGGCGCGCGGCGGCCGGACCGGGCGCGCCGCGCGGCATACGTCGCGCTGGGGTGCGCGTTGGTGGTGGCCACCGCCGGGCTGACGTGGACTACCGCGCTGCGCCACCAGTGGGGCCGCGTCTTCACCCGCGACGCCAGCGTGCTGGCGCTCACCGCCGCCGTCATGCCGCTCATCGGGCTGTGCGAACTGGGCAACTGCCCCCAGACGACGGCGTGCGGCGTGCTGCGCGGTACCGCGCGGCCGGCCATTGGCGCGCGGATCAACCTCGGCTCCTTCTACTTCCTCGGGACGCCCGTCGCGGTGGCGCTGGCCTTCTGGTTTAAGGTCGGCTTTGGCGGACTGTGGTACGGACTCCTGGCGGCGCAGGCGGCGTGCGCGTTCTCGATCCTGCTCGTCGTGTGGCGTACGGACTGGGTGGTGGAGGCGGAGCGGGCGCGGCGGCTGACGGGTACGGAGCTGGAGCTGAAGGGCGGCGCGAAGGGAGGTGCCAACGGCGGCGCCGCCGCCACTAGTACGGACGAAGAGCACGGGCTTCTTCTCAAGCCTGTCACCTCCCAAGAAGCTGGAGTTTGACATGAGCGAGAGGAGAGGTCTCCGCAGAGAAGAGAATTTTGGCCAGTCGCTACGCTGTCTCTTGGTTGTTTTTAATTTGCCGGAGTAAACTTGGAGCACGAAAGTTGACCTGTGATGGTTGTCTAGTGCCGTACAGTAGTGTCAGCGCGATGTTGCCGGTGGGGTGGCACGCAGTGGAGCGGCCAGTAGATTTTGTTATGTTTGGAGTGCCCCCATTGTTCGCAGCACGATATATCCAACCACACCGCATGAAATTTTTTGGATTTCCAGCAAATCGCATTTGTTCTTCCCTTTTGGCAGAAGAGGTTATTCTTTTTAGATATTTGTGAGATGTGGACGCAAAAGAAAAGCTGCTCCACATGTACTGAAAAAAAAGAAAAAGGAAAAAAGAGAAAAGAAATACTGACACTCGGGCTGGTGTACTCTTTGTTTTTGTTTGATTTTGATTCATCATATAAGTGCGCGTCTCCTCTTTTTGTTTGTGTGTGTGTCTAGTGTTGTCTTGCTTGTTTTCTTAAAGATTCGCGATGGACACACCCATCGCTAGCGCCCGTAGCTGTCTGGCACTTAAAAGTCGTTAGCGATCCAGAGTTTTGGCATAAAAGATGTTTAGAGCCAACTCACAGCACAGCCAGGCAGAGGATTCTTGTTCCTTGTTCTTGATTGATCTGAGAACTTACAACCTGGATTGTCCACACAAAACTGTATTGAACAGGAAGATTTGCTTACCGTCTGATGTAAGCTCCAGTGAGAAGGGGCTCATATTGTGAGCTTGAAGAAGCGATGACAATCCCTGAAACTTACGATGCGCTCCACAAGAAGCCCGTGAGACTTGGAATACGATGGAAGGAACACCTGTGGGAAACACTACGGAATTTACAGAAGGAAAGGAGGAAGACAAAGCTTACATCTGCCGCGCGTATCAGGAGGCTGAGCCTTCGGTCAGTTTTGTCCAGATTATTGATCACGGCGATCCAAATCTGTGACGCCAGAGCCTGTGCCTCATTGCCTGCCATCTTACAAGCCAGGAACTGGTCTGCCATTCAATACCCAGTCGTTAACATTGAATGAGTGAAACAAAAGAAAAGAGGAGAACGCTCGCTCGTCCAGAGGAACTTAACTGATTGTAGTTCCGTGGAGAAGGCTGTATGAAACCGAGGAAGCGGACTCGAGCTGTTCTTTCAGGTAGAGATAGACGTGTCCGGCGACTTCTTCGACGTCGCCGCCTATAAGTGGTAACACTGCTTTGCTCGCGTGCATGGCTCTGTAGCGACTGCAAAGAGAACGAGCAATGAAAAAAGCGAGAAAGGACGATTGCTTGATCGAAGAAAAGACGTGTTAGTTTTATGAGATGATAGAGACTAAGCAGAGAAGGGAAAGAACAAAGATATGATAGCGAGGAAAGTTTGATAAACTGGAATGAATAGAAAATGATAGCTTGATCAAAGAGAAACCATGCGACATGTTAAACTAGAGGAGTGATGATAGTTTGATCAGATGAATAGTTTCGTTGAAGTTGAAGTTGATCAAAGAGATAGAGATCAAAGCAAGGAAAGATAGTAGCGAAGAAATGGTGATGATAATGTAATTTAAGAGAAGAATGATAGAAGAGGAAGATCGAAAGAACAAGAAAAACATAAATGAATTCGCAGAAGAGAAGGGAAACGAGCATAACGAAGAAAGTTTGATCGACGAAAAGAATGAATAGTTCGATTGAAGACGATGATAGCTTGATCAAAGAGAAACTATGGGAAGTGACAGTGTCGTTAGAGAAAGAGAAAGAATGATGAAAAAGGAAGACCAGTGTATAGTTAAACAAAAGGAAGGGATCTAGAGTGATGATAGCACTTTGATCAACAGGAAGAAGGTGAATAGTTTCGTGGAAGTTTGATCAAAGAGATAGATAGAGATAGAGATCAAAGAGAACAGAGAAAGAAATATAATGGCGATAGCGAAGAAACAATGTCCTCTCTCTCTCACACACACACACAAACACAGAGAGAGAGAGAGCGTACCGCTTGCTACAGCCTCGGCCAATTGGGCCGGGCCATCGCTCGACCTCCGCGGTGTGAGGCCATTTTCTCAGCAGCGCCAATCGCCACAGCTCCTCGCTCTTGAAGAGCGCCGCCCATTGCTTCTTGGCGCACGCCGCCGCCGGCCAGTTTGGAGCGGGAATGCGGATGAGAATTTCGATGAGGACGTGCTCGGGCAAGCGCTCAAACCAATCGGGGCCGCCTTGATCCTCCTCTTGCGAGAATTTGGGCCCGAGCTCGTCCACAGTCGATTCCTCTGCCATGCCCGGCTAATTCGCTGCCGCCAAGCTCGATTTCCACTGCCAGCAGCAGGCAATCGATCGATTGGGGCGGCGAAATCGACAGCTTACCTCGCATCGCGGCCGCATTTCTGCCCTAGACCACAAACTGACAAGATTTGATTGACAGATGAAAGAGCGGAAGAATATTTTGGTCCCTGCTAGAGATTTGCTGACGTGGCAAGTTCCTGGCCGCTAGTTCATTGCATGCTTGCTGGCTATGGCGAATAAATTCTTCTCTCGGTGATTAGGGTTTTGTGGATCCGGCAAGGGCAATGGCAGCGGCAGGAGCGGCGCTTGCTCCCATCATTGAGAATCGGCTGCTGTTGCCGCCAAATGCTGGGCGGATCCGGTGCTCTTCATCAGCTCGAGGTAATCAGCTCGCTGTCCCGGGAATTTCTCGATGAAGCCTTCTTTCAGGCGCCCTTGTCGTTAGAGGAGCTGCATTGAGCGAGGAATCGAGGAAGAACAGGAGCTCTGCGCTAAAAGCTGTCGCGGTAAGTTCTTCCTACCGACATAGAAGTTTTACCCATCATGCGTGTAGGTGAAAGGTGAAGCTCCGAATCTGACCACTGCGAAATCCGGGTAAGTTCTTACAAGTTTTAGCGTCCAAAATCTAGTTTTTCACTTGGTTCTTTACTTCCAGTCACGAGATCTTGCTCTTCGATGCTCTTCGCGAAGGTCTCGAGGAAGAGATGGCAAGAGATCCCACAGTGTGCGTCATAGGCGAAGATGTCGGTCACTACGGAGGCTCCTACAAAGTCACCAAGGGACTGGCCGAGAAGTTTGGCGACTTGCGCGTCCTCGACACGCCCATTTGCGAGAACTCTTTCACGGGGATGGGGATTGGAGCTGCCATGACGGGACTCAGGACAGTGGTGGAAGGCATGAACATGGGATTCTTGCTGCTGGCTTACAACCAGATCTCCAACAACGCGGGAATGCTCCACTATACTTCGGGTGGCCAGTTCAAGATCCCGATCGTTATCAGAGGTCCCGGTGGAGTGGGAAAGCAGCTTGGAGCCGAGCACTCACAGCGCTTGGAGTCGTACTTCCAGTCGGTCCCGGGCTTGCAAATGGTGGCGTGCTCCACTCCTTACAACGCGAAGGGACTGATGAAGGCCGCGATCCGGAGTGACAACCCAGTGATCCTCTACGAGCACGTCCTTCTCTACAATCTCAAGGAGAGGATCCCCGACGAGGAGTATGTGCTTTGTCTCGAGGAAGCCGAGCTTGTTCGTCCGGGAAAGGACGTCACCATTCTCACGTACTCGAGGATGCGGCACTTCGTTCTCCAAGCTGCCAAGACTCTGGTGGAGAGAGGCTATGATCCGGAGATCATCGACATCAGGTCGCTGAAGCCTTTCGATCTCTTTACGATTGGAAACTCGATCAAGAAGACGCACAAGGTTCTCATCGTGGAGGAGTGCATGAGAACTGGCGGGATTGGAGCGAGCTTGAGAGCTGCGATTGTTGACAACTTCTGGGACTTCCTCGACGGCCGGCCCGAGTGTTTGTCATCGCAGGACGTGCCGACGCCATACGCTGCGACGCTGGAGGACGCGACGGTGGTGCAACCGGCACAGATTGTGGTGAAAGTGGAGCAAATGTGCCAAGGACTTGTCTAGAACTAGGAGAAAAAGAGAGTTTTTTTTTATCGTTTCTCGTCTAATCAAACAATAAGATCCATTCTTTTTTTCTCGAAACACAAAAACTTTGAGCAGAAAACTAGCTTTAAAATATGATACTCGAGTAAAATTTAGGATATTTTTCAAGATAATTCGTTTGTTATTAATATTATTAATATAAAAGCATTGGTTATTTTCATGATTAAAAATATTATAAACTGAAGATTTTAATAACTATATTTTTCAATAGTATAATAGCCTAAACCTAAATTCTGTGTAACAATTATAATATAAATTGTTAAAGTTTTTAATTAATAATAATTATAAAAAGAATATTCTATAATATAAATTAAAACTGCAAAGTATTAACTCAGGGCAAGGAAGAACCAAATTCATGTGACAATCCAATTCAGCAAGTTCTTTAGAGCCACCCCAGCTCCATTTGAAATGGTGATAAGTAAGAATATTAAGATTAAAATATATTTTCCGGATATTCTTATTCCTTACACTCTAATTTCAAGTTTAGGGCAAACGGAACAAAGGGTAAAGGTAAACATAGCAATGGCAAAGCTTTCAAGAAGATTTTCTCATCTTGGAGCTCAACCTTATCATCGCTCCGCTCTCAAATGCAGGCCAAGCAAAGACGATCCACGCAAGAGCCAGAGCTTCCGACGAATCCACTCTCTTGGTCGCCAGCAGCCTTGTTACAATGTACTCCAAGTGTGGAAGCACCGCAAACGCAACCAGGGTCTTTGATTCCATGCCCCTCACACGCTGCCTCCTGGAACGCTTTGATCCTGTGCTACGCTGACAATGGCCAAGAGATCTTGGCGCTCGAGACGCTAACGGAGATGCTGCTAGAAAATCAAACTCGAGCTCCACCGTATGCCGTGACCTTTGCTGCAGCGATCAAACCTGGCGAGCAAAGAAACATCCATAGTGAGCTTCTTACAAATATCGAGGCTTTGAAGAAAACTATGAGAGTTCACTCTCGAGCTGTAAGGATGGGATTTGAGCAGGACATTCGTGGATGTCTACGCAAAGTGTGGGAGTTTGCTGGATTCTCGCAGAGTTTTCGATAGGATGGTTCGTCACGACGTCGTCGCTTGGACCTCGCTCCTTCTCGGGTATGCTGATACTAGTTCTTCCAGAGATGGAGTGACTTTGGATTTGTTCTCGGCAGGCATGGACGCTGCTAGATGCTTGCCAAACTCGTGGATTTTTGTTGCAGTGATCAAAGCTTGCACGAACTTGGCCGTGAAAGAGGATGGGAAGAAGGCGGTGATGCTGCTTAAGGGGAGAGACTTACACTTGCAAGCTGAGAAGCTCGGATTTGGAAGGGATGATTTCGTAACGGCCAGTCTGGTGAACTACGCAAAGTGTGGACGGACGGAGCAGGCTCGAGAGGTTTTCGACAGGATAAAGCAGCCAGATGTGGTGTCATGGAACGCTCTGATCTTGGGATATGCTGAGAATGGCCAGGGAGAGGTGGCTTACGAGCTTTTCCAGAGGTTTCTTCAACGACACAGAGATGGATATAGTTGGACCGCTCCCGATGGAGTGACGTTTGCTGCTGCTTTGAACACTTGCGGCGGCATGGCAGCGATGGAAGAGGCCAAACTCGGGACTGGAGAGCTGTTCAAAACTCTCGACAAAGTCATGGCTCTTCACGTTCAAGCCGAGAAGAGCTTGTCGGGCGATAAGTTTTGCAGGAGTGTCGGGAACAGTCTCATGGGTTTGTATGCCAGGTGTGGAAGGAGTTTTCGACAGGATGCCCTGCCACTCCCATTCAAACTGGACGAGTTTGATTTCGATATAAGCCAAGTACGAAGAGCCGGAGCTTGCTCTTGAGCTCTTCGAGCAGTTGCAAGCTCACGACGAGCTTATCAATGCCCGAGCTATCCTTGCCGGACTAAAAGCCGTCGCTGCTGTTGCGGAACGAGAACGAAGTGGATGGAAAACAATTGAAGCTGGCTTCCTTGATCATCACCTTGGAGATCCACTATCGAGTCATCAGCCGTGGCTGCGATTCCGATAGCTACATCGCATGCAGCCTCATAACTCTCTACGCAGAGTGTGGAAGTCTTGTGGCGGCTACCAAAGTTTTCGAGGAGATGGCGGAGCCGCTGGATGCTGCGTCGTGGAACGCAGTGATTTTGGGATGTGCCGAGAACGAACAAGGCGACTTGGCACTGGAATACTTCGCAAGGATGCAAGCTACAGCTTCCTGCAAGCTGGACGCCATTACTTTCTGTGCTGCTCTCGAGGAGTGCAGTGTTTTAGCCGGGAAAGAAGCAGGCACACAAGATCATGGTGGATAAAGTGGCGAAGCTCGTTTCGCTGGAACGAGGCATGGAAGTTCATTCCCTCATCGTGAAAGATGAGCTAGAATAAGACGTGGTTCTTTCGAGTGCACTGATCAGCATGTACTCGAAGTGTGGAACCCTGGTGGATGCTGTGCACGTTTTCGGGAGGATTGAGAGGCACGACGTTGTTTCTTGGACAGCACGAGTGCTCGGATGTGTAGAAAACGGGGAGGCCGGACTGCCTTTGAGATACTTTTGGCCAATGTTGCTAGAGCGGGACTCGTCTTCTTTCAAGCCCGACTCGAGAGCTTTCGTGGCTGCGCTCAAGGCTTGCTGCGTCCTGGCAGACGAGGAAAGATCCTCTCTAAAACTCGACAAGAGATCGTCCAAGTCGATGGTGGAGAGTTTGGAGCAAGACATGGCGGTTCACTCCGCAGCAGCTAAGCATGGATTTGAGCTCGACATGGTGGTGGCCAACACCTTGGTGGAGTTTTACTCGAAGTCTGGAAGCATGCTGGACGCTCGAGCAGCCTTCGACAAGATGCCTCAGCGAAACTCTTCGTCACGGACTTCACTCCTGCTGGGATATGTCGAGTGTGGCCAGCCGGACGTGGCTCTGGAACTCTTTGAGCTCGCAAGAGCAAGCAGGAGGGATCTCTTCGATGCTCCTGGCTTCGTTGCTGCTCTCAAGGCTTGCGGAGTTTTGGTTTCACTCCACTCGGCGAAAGATATCCATGCCGAGATCTATCGACGTCCAGACTTGCTCGAAGAGAACGAGCTCCTGGTGACGACTTTGGTGGATGTCTACGGTAAATGCGGCAGCATGGTCGATGCTCAACACGTTTTTGACTCGGTGGTCGCGGCGAGTCACGATCCAGTGATTTGGTCGGCACTTATCTCTGGATACAGTCGACGGGGAAACACGCAACAGGTGCTCGGAGTTTTCCACAAGATGGAGGGCGAGTTTGTGCGAGTGAGCTCCAGCTCGTTGCTGTGCTTCCTCACAGCTTGCAGTCACGCAGGCCTTGTGGAGAAAGGAGCTCGCTGTTTCGAGACGATGGCATCCAAGTATGGAGTTTCTCCGAGCTTAGAACACTATAGCGCAATGGTCGATCTCTACGGCCGAGCCGGCAAACTCGAGGCTGCTCTGAGCTTGGTGAAAGGCATGGCTTTGGAAGCAAATGCCGGGATCTGGAGAAGTATCCTCGGTGCCTGTTGGAAGTGGAAAAATCCCGTGGTGGCGAGAGTTGCGTACAAGCTTTGCTGGATATGAACGAAGCCGACGCTGGGGCTCATGTCACCATGGCAAACCTTTGCTCAGTGGAACACTAGGAAGAACCGCTACTGCCATGTTTTGGATCGAGTCACTCCCGAAAGCTAGAAGACTTTGACACCACTAAGCGAGAACAAGTTCCGGAGAAGAACGTAGCTAGCGCTCGTCGTGGTGGAAATTCTCGGGAGTACACGCTCCGCGGCATGAGCTCCGTGGTGCAGGCTATTGTGGCTCTTGCAAGCAGCCAAGAGACACGTCCACTCGAGCAAGTCCGGAACGAATGGCATCGTGAGTATGACCTCCTGCGCGTGATCCAAATGCCCAGCAGATCGATCATGCAGCGGGAGTGCTGTTTCGTCGGCTGGCTGGATCCAGTAGTCCATTGTCGACATACGTTTGGACACGAGCGAGCACTTCCCAGCGTAGACTTTGCCTTCGTGACTGCAAGCGATGAGGATGGACGCAAAGCACACTGCTCCAGATGAGTGAATTGCCTTCATGGTGTCGAAGAGGTCAAACGGGGCTGTGGAGTTTATGTTTTGGGCATAGCCGGGTCCAGGAGACAGAGCTTTGCTCGGGCATTGAGTGGAAGAGCTTCGCGGCCTGACCAAGATGCCCGTTTAGAGCAAAGCCGAGCCAAGACACCGAGTCCCACTCTGGCATCCGGTAGAAGATCTCCTCGATGTGCCCGTTTCGAGCGTACGAAGCCGATCAAAAGCCATTCCGGCCAAAAACCGACTTTACTTCGTCGACTTGCGCGCAGTATAGAGCGACGAAAGACGACTTTCGTGGACCACGATGCTGTGCCCGACACGTGGCAGTATGTCTTGCGATCCGGTGAGGCACGTGGCATCGATCGGCACGCGGACACTGGACGGCCAGGATACACTGGAGGGAATGTTTAAATTCGGCGTCCTCCACTCCACCAGCAGTTCTTCATTCTCCTTCTCCTAGGGTAATCGAGCGGCAAGGCAAGATGATGCGCTCTCTCGTCGGCAGGGTGAAGGCCTCAGGTCCGTAATATCGATCGTCTTCTCGCTGAATCGATGCATCGATCCTCTGGAATTTCAGGATTCGCGGCATGCGGAGAAGCAAATCGAGCCCTGCTTGTTCCAGGCCTTCGAAATATCGAATCCAGGTATGCATTCTAGACGATTCGCTTCAAAGCATCGCACCAGGGATCGTTCCGCAACATTCTCTCGTTCATGTCTTTCTTTCGTGTCATCCTTACAGTGTTGTGCCGGCCCCCTGCTGTGGAAGGCGCTTGGCTTCCATCGATTGCAGCCTGTTCGAAGGCCTGATCAGCCCTGAATACCTGTCTCTACGCCGCAGGTTAGTCCATTATCAACGTTCATTCTCATTCCAACGCATTGTTCTTGTGTTTTCTAGTGACCATGTCTCCTATGACTCGACCTTCTCTACCCGCGGCCTATCCACCAGGTTGTTGGCCCGTTGTTGGCTTTCTGTAGGATTCCTACTTGTTTCTAATGCTTCCTTTTTTCTTTCCAGTGAGCGCACCATGTTGGACAGCCAAAGCAGCCTTGAATACCAGTCTTCCCGTCGCAGGTGCTCTTCTATACTCCATTTACCTTTATTTTCATTCTAACGCATTCTTCTTTTTTCCAGTGTCCATGTCTCGTATGAGTCGACCTTCTCTACCCGCAGCCTATTCACCAGGTTGCTTTATTCGTCTAAGGTTCCTACTTGTTTTTACATTTTTTCTTTCCAGTGGTCGCAGCCTGTTGGACAGCCAGAGCAGCCTTGAATACCAGTCTCCACGTCGCAGGTGCTTTCTATACTCCATTTTACCTCTATTCTCCTTCTAATTCATTCTTCTTTTTTCCCAGTGTCCATGCCTTGTATGAGTCGACCCGCAGCCTTTGCACCAGGTTGTTTTATTCGTCTAGGATTCCTACTTGTTTTTAATGCTTTCAGTGTTCTCTCCAGTGATCTCCGCCTGTTGGACAGCCAGAGCAGCCTCCAATACTTGTCTCCACGCCACAGGTGCTCTGACTATCAACGTTCTTCATTCTCATTGCAACGCTTTTTTCTAGTGTCCATGTCTCCTGCTCGGCATTCTCAACCCGCGGCTTCTGCACCAGGTACTGGCCCATTTGCTTCGTCACGAATCCTTACGTACTTCTAATGCTTTTTGTTCATCCTTTTTTCTTTCCAGTGTCAAGGACGAACCCACCCTGTTATGTGGCAAGGAAGGCACCAGGTATCTTGGACTTCTATTTCTTTTGCGTGAGTCTTGACTTGTTTCAAACAGCAAGATTTGCGAGGGAAGCATTTCCGAGTTTCCTCCGTGGAGAAGCACGTCGGCCCATCCTTCATGGCACGAGGCTTTGTCTACGTCCTCTATGGTGGCTAAGCTCTCCAGGCTTCCACGAGTCCCTCACACGCCGCCAGATTTCCTTGCAAAGCTGGACGCACGGAGCCTTACTATAGATGATGTGATTGCGCTGAATCCCGTGGAGAAACAGCTACGAACTTCTCACGCTTATAGTTTGACTCTACGTGATGGTGTGCGGCAAGGCTTCCTTGATTGGAAAGCCATCGAGTGCTGTCTCTCTGCGTGGATCCGGGCACTGACCGTAGAGGTGAGTTTATTTGTCTTGCACTTTACATTAGCCGATTTAATCACTGCCTTTACAGTGGGAGATCCTTGCTGAGGAAGACCACCAGCTCACACAAACGTGTTCGCTCTGCAAGCACTTTACTCTTGCTGCGCGGTACATGGTGGAGTTCCTGGAAATTCACCCATTCCGCGATGGCAATGGTCGAGTGTCAAGGTTTATATCTTTGTCTTTTTGTTTTCTATCATTCATTTGTAACTGAGACCTTTTCTTGCAGAAAAGTAACGGCAATGCTTCTCCAGGACAGCCTCGGAGGAAGATATGTGCGCCTCCCTGAGAACACGGACTGTACGCCAGCGAGAACTTGGATGCTACATTCGCTCGCGTTGTCGAGGACAAACAAGGCCAGTGTCATTCCACTGGAGAGCGTTCCGGAGTGTGACACGACGGATGTTGCTGCCTTCCTGGTGGACGTGGCCTATGAGCAATTCATCATTTCTTGAGGTAGTGGAATAAAGGAGTGAGTCGATGGAGCGCACCATCTGATCAAATTCGGCTCGAGAGGTGCGAGATGAACAAGCGGTCCTTCAAGTATGCCTGGAATCACCATCGATATGTGAGCTGTGGAAGTTCGAGAAAAGTAGTGCTGCACTGCCATCGAAGCTCCTGGTCTTCCATCAAGAAAATGGTGAGTTCTTTCTTCTTCTTGGTCCCATGCTCTTCTTGCTTTTACTCTTGGAGTGAAGCATGGTGCTGCTGTAACAAGGTATGGTTTCATATTCATAGCTTCAAGGGTATGTCTCATAGATTTTTCTCTGTTGCTTAGATCGAGAATAATGGTTAAAGCCTAAGACTATATAAAGTCACGGTAGGGTCGAAGGAAAGGATCGATGGCAAGCAAAGCGGCGATGAGGTTGAGGCCGTTGGAGCTGCCTTGGTGGAGGGCGCTGACGATGCAACCAGAGAAGCAGCGCAGCACATCAGACATGGTCAAGGACATTGCTGCGGCCGCTACTACTGCTGCGTCGTCGAGGATACCCCAGGTAATGTGGCAGGCACAGCTCGTCGACTTCTGCGACACATCAGGGCGGCTGAGGGACAAGCGCCTCATCCCCCACCCGGACTCGGCGCTCTCCAACCGCGCATGCCTCGAGTACAACTTCCCCGACTACCTCAGCGACCAGCAGCGCGCCGAGTCGCAGGGGATGTGCGATGCCCTGGAATATGCCCTGCACTCGGTCAAACCCGGCTTCGCCCTTGACCTGCACTCCCTAGCTGACATCCAGGCCAGGGTGGTCAACGGCGGTGCGGGACTCGGAGCGGGTGTGAGCGCCGAGGTGGTGGCAAGCAAACTCGGCGAGATCAAGTCGGGGGTGGCGTCGCTGCTGGAGTTGCCTGTCGAGGAGAGGGTGGTGCCGGCGTTTGGCGTGGCCGCATGCGGATTTCTCGACGTTGGATCCAAGCTCAGGCCGTTTGGGGATGGCAACTCTCGGCTTGCGGAGGTTGTGGCGTCGCTGGTGCTGGATGCCACTGGGGTGGTGCCGTTTCCGCTGCGGGTGCACTGCATTGCCGGTGGGGAATCGTATACGCCCTTCCCTCCCGTCTCGGACAAGCTCCGCAAGAGCTGCACGCCCGAGGAGCTTATGACGTATGTTATCGAGAGGGCGTGGCTCGCTTGGGCTTCGCGGCACGAGTTTGAGGACATCCTGCAAAGCTTTCGAAACGGGCCGCCTCTCTCCTCCCGCTCCCGCTATTACGAATGATGCTTTTCTTTTGCCTTTCGATTCTTTCTTCAATGATGCCAAGTTTTAGCTAGGGCAACTTCATGTGTATAGCTATCCAGCCATCTTGGAGCTCCACCATCTCGGCGCTCCTGGCGGCTCTCAAATCTGCAAGAATGTAGGCCAAGGGAAGACCATCCACGCAAGAGACATAGCTTCCGGCAACCTCTTGGTCGCACTCCAAGTGTGGAAGTGGAAGCACCGCAAACGCTTTGATTCATGCCCCTCCACGACGCTGTCTCCTGGAACGCTTTGATCTACGCTGACAATGGCCAAGAGATCGTTGGCTCTCGGGATGCTCTTAGAAAGTCAAACTCGAGCTCCACCGGATGCCGTGACCTTTGCTGTAGCGATCAAAGCTTGCGCTGGCCTGGCGAGCAAAGAAAACATCCATAGTGTGCTTCTTACAAAGATCGAGGCCCATCGAGGCTTTGGAGAAAATTATGAGACTTCACTCTCGAGCTGCAAGGATGCAGGACGTGGTTGTGGCGAGCTCGCTCGTGGATGTCTACGCAAAGTGCGGGAGTTTGCTGGATTCTCGCAGAGTTTTCGATCGTCATGACGTCGGGTATGCTGACACTAGTTCTTCCAGAGATCTTGGAGTGACTTTGGATTTGTTCTCGGCAGGCATAGAGGCTGCTGGATGCTCGCCAAACTCGCGGACCTTCGTTGCAGTGATCAAAGCTTGCACAAGATGGTAAGAAGGCGGCGATGCTGCCCAAGGGGAGAGATTTACACTTGCAAGCTGCATGATTTCGTAGCAGGCAGTCTGGTGAACTTCTACACCGAGAAAGAGGTAGCTTACGAGCATTTCCAGACGTTTCTTCGACGACACAGAGATGGCTCGCGATGGAGTGACTTTTGCTGCTGCTTTGAACGCTTCCATCGGCATGGCAGCTGAAGAACAGGCCAACCTCGGGACCGTGATGGCTATAGTTTGATCATTCCCGATGGAGCGACTTTTGCTGCTGCTTTGAACGCTTGCGCCGGAATGGCCAGCTAAAGAACAGGCCAAGCTCGAGACTAGAAAGCTGCTCCAAACTTTCGATAAAGTCATGGCTCTTCACGTTCAAGCCGTGTCGTCTGATAAGTTTTCCAGGAACAGTCTCATGGATTTGTACATCAGGTGTGGAAGTTTGGAGGATGCGAGGAGAGTTTTCAACAGGATACCCTGCCACTCCCATTCAAACTGGACAAGTTTTATCTCGATCTATGCAGACTTGCTCTAGTGCAAGCTCATGATGAGATTATCAATGCACGAGCTTTCCTTGGCAGACTAAAAGTAAAGCTTTCCATGCAAAGTGTGGACGTTTTGTGGCAGCTACTAAAGTTTTCGAGGAGATGGCAGAGTCACTGGATGTTGCATCAAGTGTACACCCTGTTTGGTACACGGCCTCATCTACTAGTTCCTTCTATTTTATGGTCCAAAGTTGAGTGTCAATGACAAAAGAAATTTAAATTGAATAAATGAAGGTTTTAAAGTTTTAATTACAACCTATATTTTCTAAAGCTATATTATTTTACTGTTATTTAAAAAGACCTAAATAAGTTAAATCATTTTGATAGCTAGATATTCAAACAATAATATAGTAATAACTTATGGTATTACCGATAGGCTAACATTAATTTTACCAACTCAAAGCATAATTTTAAGTTGCTAATATACCTCAGTTATGAGCCCAAGCATAAACGCATATAAACAGTACATCCCAAAATTCATCTAATAAGCCATCATTATTAAATTAGAATGCTGTTATATACCATAAAGTATTGACCTTTTTACTTTTATTTATTTTTATACATAAAATTTTCTTTAATTGAATTCTGAATACTTTTAAGTGTTAGAATAAAAAAAAGTAATTGCTACACTAGCACCACCATTTAAAGTAAAAAATAAATTAAATAGAAAATGTGGCATATTTAATTATAAAGATATTTATTCTAATAAGTAGAGATTTAACTAATTAAAGCAATAAAATTTAGCTTCTCTTTCCACAAATGACAATGTTTTTTTTTCTATTAGATAAATGTGTTTTCTTTCCTTTCTTTGTTCTATTTATCATGATTTTTTATTTCAAATTTTTCTATCATTTGATAAATTTATTTTTTTCAACCAAATCTTTTTTCCTTGGAATTTGACAAAGTACAGGCTTTGGTGACCAAACAACAGGTATGTTTTTTCTATTGCTAATTTGGCAGAGTTCTATCCGCTAATACTTGGATGGGTAAATTGACAGTCCAGATGTTCGGGTGGCTCCTCGAACCGACGGCATTGGCGAGGCGTTTCCATTGTCGAAGGTCTTGCACTAATCGCTGCCGGGCCTTTTTATTTTACGATTTATAAAATGCCACAGTGAAACTCATTACATGCGATAGATTGAAGGGCTCGCTCCAGATTCTAGGAGGAAGGAAGAGCTTGGGTGAAGGAAAGAGCTCCTATTTCTTGGATATGGCAGCAGCGGCCATGGCTCAAAAGGTTTTGGTGCCTTGTTCTTCGTCTTCGTCTTGCGGGAAAGTCCAGTTCTCTCCAAGCCGAGGTAGGATCTTCTTTCGTTTTGGAAGGTTTTGATCGAAAGCTTTTGCTACAGTGCACACCCAGGCCATCGCATTTGGTGGAGAGTTGTCTCAGAGTTCTAGCAGGAAGAACAAGAGCCTAGCGCTAAAAGCTGTCGCGGTAAGTTCTATCTCCTCTCCATTTGCTTTCGTCGTCTCGGTCAAAATTGCTAAAGACTCTCAACGTTTCATGCTCGCAGGCAAAGGGTGAAACATCCGCTCCAGTTACTGCAAAGTCTGGGTGAGCTTCTTTCTTCCATAGTTCTAAAATCTTTTCTTTGCAAAGCTTGATCATATCTTTTGTTTCCCAGGCACGAGATCTTGCTCTTCGATGCTCTCCGCGAAGGTCTCGAGGAGGAGATGGCGAGAGATCCCACAGTGTGCGTCATGGGAGAGGACGTCGGCCACTACGGAGGCTCCTACAAAGTCACCAAAGGGCTGGCCGAGAAGTTTGGCGACTTGCGCGTCCTCGACACGCCGATTTGCGAGAACTCCTTCACGGGAATGGGGATCGGCGCTGCCATGACGGGACTCCGGACAGTGGTAGAAGGCATGAACATGGGATTCTTGCTGCTGGCTTACAACCAGATCTCCAACAACGCTGGAATGCTCCACTATACTTCGGGTGGTCAGTTTAAGATCCCGGTGGTGATCCGCGGCCCCGGTGGGGTTGGAAAGCAGCTTGGAGCCGAGCACTCGCAGCGTTTGGAGTCGTACTTCCAGTCAGTCCCGGGCTTGCAAATGGTGGCGTGCTCCACTCCATACAACGCGAAGGGACTGATGAAGGCCGCGATCCGGAGTGACAACCCGGTGATCCTCTACGAGCACGTCCTTCTCTACAATCTCAAGGAGAGGATCCCCGACGAGGAGTACGTGCTTTGCCTCGAGGAGGCCGAGCTTGTTCGTCCGGGAAAGGATATCACCATCCTGACTTACTCGAGGATGCGGCACTTCGTGCTCCAGGCTGCCAAGACGCTGGTGGAGCGAGGGTATGATCCGGAGATCATCGACATCAGGTCGCTCAAGCCTTTTGATCTGTTCACGATTGGGAACTCGATCAAGAAGACGCACAAGGTTCTCATCGTGGAGGAGTGCATGAGAACTGGCGGGATTGGAGCCAGCTTGAGAGCTGCGATTGTTGACAACTTCTGGGACTTCCTCGATGGCCGGCCCGAGTGTTTGTCGTCACAGGACGTCCCGACACCTTACGCTGCAACGCTGGAGGACGCGACGGTGGTACAGCCGGCGCAGATCATTGTGAAAGTGGAGCAAATGTTGCAAGGTCTCATCTAAAACTCCACAATCACGACAAAGACAAACGCTCTTAAATTCCCCGGCGAGAGTGGAAGTTCTTCGAATCCATTCTTACAATAAGGAAGAACATTACCAGTTTTTCGAGTTGATACCTGGAAAAAAATTCTTTTTTAGTGGCTTTGGAAACCATTGAAGAACACGAGCCTTATTAAATATCCAGTTTTTTTTAAGCTCATAGCCATTGAAAAACACCTCTTTTCTGGAACCATCCTCTCCGCACTGTGCAATGGTAACAAAACTCGTTTCTTGATTACACATTAACCATGACAAAGAAGCACAAAATGTCTGTAAAGTTAATATCGAATTGAAAATTGTTCTCTCGCACTGATAGAATGGTCCACAACCAGCTCAAGTCCCGTCCCAGCCTGTATGCTCTTGAATTCCTCCAAAAGATTGCGTAAAAGCCTCGTCAAGGTAGTTGTCTTGATAAACAGCGGGGACCTTAGACACACGTAAAACTACCAGGTGAAAATGATGGCATGGTTTTGATTTTCAGGTTTGCCCTCCCCAATATTGACAGGCCCAGGAAGTCTGATCTTATAAATTTCCCATGGAAAAAATGGTGAAGCTAGTCTTGGCCATCCACAGCTTTGGACAGGCAGTGTACACCAGGTTGCAAAAACTTTCACAGTTGTAGCCAACGCAAATCTTTTCTTTGCGAGGTTGATCACATCTGTGTCCAGGCACGGCATCTTGCTCTTCGATGCCCGCGAAGGTCTCGAGGAGACATCAGTCCCTTCGCGTTGTAAGGAGTGGAGCACACCACCATTTGCAAGCCCGGGACCGACCGCTTTCGCACGCCACCGGGCCCCGAATCACCACCGGGATCAGTGACAACCCGCTTATCCTCTACGAGCACGTCACGATCTCAAGGAGAGAATTCCCGATGAGTACGTGCTTTGCCTCGAAAAAGCCGTCGAACGAATTCGTCCGGGAAAGGATATTACCATCCTGACTTGAGGATGCGGCACTTCGTGCTCCAGACCGCGAAGTCTCTGGTGGAGCGCGGCTATGGATCCCGAGAGGCGGATTTCCGCGCGCAGGCTGTACAGGCTAGGACTTGAGCTGGTTGCGGTTGACGATCAAATCTTGCCTGGAAAACAAGGAAGAAATTGGTTTTCTCTGTGCTCCTTTGGAAAATCTCTTTTTTTTTTACTGGCTTGGAGGAGGATGACAGTCCGGGCATGGAAACCACCCTCTCCCCTGACAAGCCGGGCATGGCTTCTTGACCGGGTCGACCGAGAATGGGAGATATGGTGTGTTGGACTCGCCTCTTCCTCTACATTTGCCACAAGGAACGATCTTCCCATTGCCACAGATGTTACAGTGCCTTCTCCTGGACATCACGAAGTCCATGACTTCCATAGCCACGGTTCTTCCAGCTCAAAGGGAAAACGAAACGAAAAGAAACGTTACTTACCCCTTTCGTCTCTGCTGGACGGTTGGTTTCACTCGCTGGACGCTTGGATTCACTCGCGACGCCGCCGCCCTTGGAGCTTTCGAGCTCGCCAAAACCGCAGGTAGCTCACACTTGAGCGCCACACTGTTCTCCATGATACCAAAACTCACTCTTCCTCTCAAAGCTTTACAAAGACGAGTTTGTGAAAGACACTAGCTATAGCCGGACACGCTCCTTATCAGGGCTGGTGTACCAGCCGCGGTGGCGCCAGGAAGAGCCGCGGAGCGTCGGGGTGGTGATGGTGGAACGTGAGCTCTCCGTCGAAATCTGGAGTATAAGTTCTCGGCCGCTTGGTTCCCTTGCCCTCGCGCTTGTGAGCTTCTACCTGTTTTTCCAAACCTTGCAAGTCGGCAAACGTCTCCTCCGGATCGTCTTCCGGCCCTGCAACTTTGGAGTCGCTTTTGCTCTTGCTCGCGTCACAGCCACCCTCATTGTCCTTGACGACACCGTCCGGTTCCTCTGGCTTAGAGAAGATGCTGCTCTGACGCTCTGATGTTCTGGACGGACACCCTCTGATGTTCTGACGCTCTGGACACGTCCCTCCTCCAAAAAATCCCAATCCACGGTACTTGGACGTTTAATTTCCTCGTCTCGAGAAGCCCGCCCGGCCTACCATCTAGATCGCTTAAAATCCTCCATAATGTTATACCTGGACGCGATCTAGCCCCGACGTTTGATAACCTCAAGTCTTCAAACTAAGCATATCGCTTAAGATCCTCCATAGTTGTTATACCTGGACCTGCGATCTAGCTCACCTGTACTAGTCGTCGGCCACCTTCTTCCGTTTACCAGCCAGAATTCTGGATATTTGCAGTCCACGGCTGAAGGCCTGGTTGAAGAGAAGCCTTGTCTGGAACTCGGACACGAATGGAAACCAAGCTAGGATCGCAACAGGCGCAAAGAGCAACAGCCCCATGACGTATTCGTACGTTCGTGCAAGAGCCTGTACCGAGTCCCACATCCCATACGTGACGATAACAGGCCTGCATGCTTGAAATATCTGTAGACACGTTTATCAAAACCAATCCAAGGAAATGTAGTTACCAACCTGAAGTAAACCCCAGCCTGTGGGAACGAACGCGAGAATGCTGGCGAACAGGTCTCCTACTGTCAGGTGAGCAAAGCGGAAAAGCACAGCGATTACTGAGAGGACCGCTACGAATATGACTCCCTTCAACATCCTAAAGACGAGCTGGAAATTGGCCTTGAATTTCTTTCGTCCCAGAGAAACGGCCTGCAAACACAGTTCAATCAGAAAAGTCAAGTCGAAGCCTGTGCGAACCTTCAATGTGAATAGAACGACGCAAATAACAACCCAGGATAGACCATACATCTGCAAAAAAACATATAACTGTAAGAACAGGACAGTGTATCAAAAGGCCAGCTTTTACTTACGGAAAGGCTCTTGTTTCCCCGCATGATGTTCAACTGGTAGACAATACCATATTGGTAGAGGACGAATCTCAGAGCAAGGATCACTTCAAAGACACGGCCGCGAAAACCTGTATTCTGAAGGTGATCTTGCTCTTCCTCCCACCAGGACTCCCAACTTTTGTTGGCAGGAACTCCAATCCTTCCCTTACTGGATATCCACTTGTTCCAATCGTTCCAGTCTTCAACGATCTTTTGCCACTCGAAGCCCGATGGATTGAAGAGGAAAGGGGAAAACAGCCACGTTCCCACCAAGAACCACATGGAGAATGTGATGAGGACGTACGAGACGGCATTCCTTGTCTGCGATCCGTAAACGTCGTATATAATGAGCAGGATCATCAGCTCGAAGCCTTTGACGAAGTGACTTCTTGAGTAGAGCCTGTAGTTATCAGGGAACTTTTCGTGCCTCACCACGAACCCGCGACCTGTTGCTCTGTACTTGGCACCCCCGTGAAAGATGGTACGTCCATAGTAGTGAACTTTGGAGCCCAGAGTGAATGTGAAGAAGACTGAGGCGAGCTGTAGCTGCATGACAATCAAGTCGCTGAGTGCCATACGGAATCCCCTCTCGAGTCCAATTTCCATCACCATGGGTAGAGCCATCAATAGACCCAGCTGAATCAACGACTGCGAAGCCAAAGCTGATTGGAGTGCACTATCAGTGTTTTGTTGTGCTGCCCTGACAAAAGACCTCTCCAGTCCACTGAGTGCTAAGTAGAGTCGCCCGTACAAGAAGACGTATACTGTAAGAATGACTATCTGAGAAATGAGAAACCACTTATTAGAACGGAGAAGAGTGAAGGTTAAGCAGTACCATGGTGCTGAAGTAATATCCCACTGTTGTAATGTAGAAGGAAAGCATTCGGAAGAAATCAAAGCGGTGGCCCAAGCGGTAGACATCCCTACTTAAAGTCTGTTCACCGTTCCCGTTTGCCACTTTTGCCTCGAATATTGATATTTGATTCAGTCCTACGTCACGACCCTTCCCCACTTGAATGTATTCGTGGTGCGTAACAAGTCCACGGCGTAGAGTCGAGTTAAAACCTGTCTCCGCAACAGTCAGCTTTGGTTTCGATTTCAATGGCACATTACCGGCAAAAATATCCTCGCTCAAATTGATCCCCTTCGAAGCTTTACTAACTCCTCCTCTTGTAATGTGAAAAATTCTATCAAACACATCTGGATGACCATAGTGGAAACGTACTCTGTAAAGAATGTATTCCGAAGTTAGAATCAAGGTCTTCCAAAGGTATACACGTACTTTAGAGGAGTAGCAAGGACGCGCTGTCCTATGGTAACAAAACTTGTTTCTTGATTTGACATGAACCATGCCAAAGAAGACACACTGCAATGCACAATATGTCTAGAAAGTTAATATCGAATTCAAAATGGTACCTTCCGGTGAAAATGTGCTCTCGCACACCTAGAATGGTAGGGAATCTAGCTCCATGCCTACTCTTGAATTCCTCCAAAAGATTGCGTACTTTGAAAGCCTCTTCAAGGTAGTTTTCCTGATAAACAGCGGGACCTCAAGTATTTGCAGTGAGTAAAATATACCTGGTTCATGTCAATAGTTTGCAAACCCAGACCACGGGTAAAAATGATGGCATGATTTTGATTTTCAGGTTTGCCTTCTCCAATATTGACAGGCCCAGGAAGTCTTATCTTATATATTTCCTGCGATGGAAAACAATGGTGAAGAAACAACATACAAGAAATGCTAGTCATGACAAATTATACCTCATCCCGGCCATCCACAGCCTTGGACAGAACAGAATAATACGACTTTTGCGGTTTACCCTTCGATGGTTCTTCTTCAAGCACATAAGCAACCCTCAGTGAAGGATACCTGCAAAAGCTTTCCTTTAAACACCAGATTGCAAAGAAAAACCTGATCTATACTTCGTCATTAGTTTCTGTATGTCCTGAGCTTTTGACGCCTCCTTCAGGTCTTTCGAGTGCTTCTGCTGACCAAACTTTTGGCAGGTTGCAACAAAAGTGAATTTCATGTCAACGATAGCATCCAGCTTTGCCCAGAAAGAATCTTGTCCTTTTTCTTCCTTTCGACGCTTAGACACTTCTTTGAAGCCCGTATAAACATCTAGAAACGAAGGTAAAAATGTTAGAATTATCTCTATACATGTAGTAGACCAACCTTCGTCAGGGGCTAAATCTAAAAAAGCTTGCAGTTCCAGTGCAGTTCGGTAGTACATCATCCCCCTCACTACAAGCACCATCAGAACACAAAAGATTGCAGGTAAATCGTACCAGTCCGCG